AAAATATTTTTATTTTATGTGTATTTGCGTATTGCCTGAATGTATTTGAGTGCATCTGTGTCCTGTAATGCTGCAGAGGTCAGAAGAGGGCTTCAGATTCCCCTGGAATTGCAGTTAAGGATGGTTCATAGCTGCCACGTGGGTGCTGGGAATTGAACCCAGATCCTCTGCAAAAGCAGTCAGTGCTCTTAACCCCTGTGCCATCTTTCCAGCCTTGAGAGGGGAAATTATTAACAAGGAAATTTTACATACCTTATTTTAAATCACATGTCTGGAAATTTTTATTTATATTTTTACTTATTTATTTATTGACGACAAGGTCTTGCTATGTATCCTGGCTGGCCTAGAGCTTACTATGTATGTATACCAGTTTGGTCTTGAACGTGTGGCACTCCTTGTCCTCTCTCTTTGGATGCTGGGATTACAAGTGTATGCCACCACATCAGTCTTACCGTAAGCTTTCTTGTTCCAAACATTGTTCCAAATGCTTTCTGTACAGTTTTTGGTTAATCATAACCAAATAAGATCTAGTATCTGCATTTTACAAATGCATTATCCAAAACGTGAGATTAAATGCTTTAGTCAAGGTCATTAAGACAACTCTTGGTTAAATCAGGTCCACCTGATTCGTTTCTCAGACTGAACTTCTTTACCAAATGAGTAAATGTTTTCGTTTACTGTTATATTCAACAGACTGTGTATGTATAAATGTTTGTTTGTATGAATGAATGACAGGGTCTGATATAGCCCAGGCTGGTCTGAAACTAGATAATGTAGTCCAAAGATGATCTTTAACTTTTATTCTCTTGCCTCTGTCTCTCAAGTGCCAGGATTATAGGCTTGTACCACCATGCCTGGTTTATGAGTGCTGGGAATCAAACCCATGGTTTTGTACATGCTAAGCTAACACTGAACTACGACCCAGCCCTGCCAACAGACTATTACTTAAATGCTTGCTGTACTGGGTAATGGGGATACAGGTGGTCCTTATCTGTAAGAATCTTACAAATACACATTTATGTAATAGAAGGATAAAATAACATAGTGGTTACCAGAAAAGAAGTACAAGATATGACGAGCGGGCAGCATGCTAAAGCCCAGCTTGGGAAGTTAGAGAATACAGTGGGAATGTTGGTGAAGTCTTTTCCAAAGAAGTGACATTTAAGGCGAGACTTAAAGAATGCATGAGTTAGCTAGGAAAATAATATTCCAAGCAAAGAGAATTACCTGTGCAAAGGTTTCCAAGTAAAGAGATTTGACCAGCTACGGATATGGTAAAGAAGGAAGCCTGTGTGACTGGAAATAGATGGTATAGGACTGTAAAGTGCTTGGACTTTATCCTGAGTCAGGAGAACACAAAGCATCTAGCACAGTTCATAGTGCATTCTCAGAATAACCTTTCTCCAGTTGGGAGTACTGAAAGTGTCAGAAACATTTTCTTCACTTTATAAGCCAGCAGGAAAGAAAAAAGCCTTGCACTTAGGGGTTGGAATCTCAGGTATTCATTCACCTTGGGCTAGTCACCTAACCTCTGAAGCCAGGTAGCTCTATATGAAATAGGAATGATGTCAGGTGGATTCTACTTCAGGGAGTTGCTAGGAGGATTGAAAATACAGAGGCCATTCTTTGAAATCTCTTTATAAACTTAAAGCACTATATAAATGAAACTTGCTATAGAATGAACTCTGTATTGGACTCAGGTTTCCAGAAATCAGTATGGGCTGCTGTGTTCTAGTTCAAAGACAGATGGTGCTTAGAATGTTTACTTTATAGTCATTGGCTGCTGCAGAGATGATTGACTTAACTCTGGGAAAGTTTGTGAAAGAGCGTGAAGCTCTCTCAGTTAATGTTTCCTGTTCCTACAGTACAATTATTAACAGAAACAAGATATAAGAAAGAATATATTTAGAGGAAGCAGCTGTAGTTAGCTGAACTACATTAGGGAAATGCGGGGAGATGTATTTATGATAAGGACAGTTGGTAAGCAGAAGGAGAATTAGAATTTGAGAGAAAACAGGTCAAAGAAACTGTAAATCCTAGTAGCTGCCGGGAGAAGGGAGATGGCTAAGAGGAAGAGAAATAGCCAGCTGTGCCTTTTGATCCAAGAAAGGATACATGTTCAGCTTCAGAGGTGGGCAGTCAGCTAGAGAAAAGGGAGATCTTGGAGAAACAAGAGAGTCCAGAGTGTTGAGGAAAGCATGCTTAGGCGTTTGGCCAGTATCCACCCCCACCCCCCAAAAAAAAACAAGAAGGGAAAAGTTAAGACTTTTTAAATTAGAGCTCAGCTCAGAAAGCAGGCAGGCTTAGCAGTGAGGAGGGACTCCTCTTTTGTTTAGAGTAACCAGGGTAGAAGACTTCAGAAAGACCATAGGAAGTCAAGCTGAAAGGGATAAATGATTTGCTCAGTCCTAGGACAAGCTGAAGACCCTAGGTCTAAAGTAGTCTAGTTTTTGCTGCTAGGGTTCAGTCAGTAAGCTTTCCAACCTAGCCACTAAATCCAGACCAATTCCCCCCTCTTCAAGTCAGGTTATATGAAGTCACAGGATAAGTCATGTGTCTGTTTTTTCAAGCTTTATTTATATTTGATGACATGGGGGAATAGAGGCATTTTATTATGCAAACATAGAAAGCTAATGAAAATTTATGAATTTTTAAGGCAAATAGATTATAAAACTCTTGGGGCTGTACCATCAGATTTCTCCCCTTCTCCAAATAAATATACACTCTCAATCCCCCATACCTATTGTTCTCTGCCAATAAGGCAGGTGGAAAAATTTGAGAAGCAGGATTCTGTATGATAAAGATGATGTCATTGTCTGCAGTTGGTCCTGTTCTATCTGCAGGCTACAGGGTGAATAGCTCCATTTCATATACTATGTAAGATAAAAGCTGTTGGTTAAGAGTTGTTTTGTTTCTTGCAGGGGTCTCCTTATGTCAGGGACCAAGTTACCCTGACAGCAGGAAGATTGTGTAAGTATCACTAGGTAATATGAATATGTGGCCATGGTTATTTTATTTAGACACCAATTCTAAATTTGACCAGTAGATGCCTTCACAGACCTCCAGTCCTAGAAATGGAGGTCATTATGTTGAGTCCCCATACCTAACCTTGATAATTTTTGTTATGATATACCTTGTGCATCTAACCAATGTCAGATGTTGAGTGAAGAGTGTACCAGTCCTTCTCAGGGAGTTAACATACAATGAGAGTTAACTTGGAATCTTCTTTTTATGGGAATAGATGTAAAAGAGTACTAAATATTCTAGTTGGGTACAAGTGCAGCTGAGGGACTGGAGGTCACATTTGTTGGAGAGATTGAGAGTATTCTCTTGGTAACATAGTTACTTGTTTTAAAACAGTAAAAGCAAAAGACCAGTTAAATAAACCCTAGGACTTTGACTAGTTTGATAGGAATGCTATTGCATAATGCTGTTTGGAGAAAGGCCATCCCTGTGTTCTTCAGATTAACTTCTGCTTGTGAATGTTTTGAGTTACTGTGTATTCCAAGTATTTCTGTGGTGGTGAGAGGATCCTCTCTAGTAACCTATTCAAGAGCTGTGAAGCTGCCTTTTCTATAAGGAGATTCTTCAGTGTGAAGAGTCAGCAAATAGCTTCCTTACCTTGCATCATGATAAGTTTTGGTTTTCATTCTTAAAAAGGCAAATTCACACCGGGCGTGGTGGCTCACACCTTTAATCCCAGGAGACAGAGGCAGGTGGATCTCTGTGAGTTCGAGGCCAGCCTGGTCCACATAGTGAGTTCCAGGTCAGCTGGGGCTACAGGGAGACTCTGTCTCAAAAAAACCGGAAAAAAAAAAAAAAAAAAAAAAGGCAAATTCACATTCACATGGTAGTAGAAGTAGGAATTCCTGTGGAAATCAGTTTTACATTCATTAAATCTTCAGGTTGTGGTACCTGTTGAACTAGAAATTTCTAAGAATCCACACTGAAAAACTGTATACCCAAATTTCTCTCTAAATGACAAGCAACAGGGGCTTGTTTAAACTACAGCATCTTACCACGTTCACACTATGTTAGGGAAAAAAACAGATTACACTGTATTCCATTTTCTGATGTGTAGTATAATTCCATTGTAAATGTTCTTTTTGCTATTTCTGATAGTCTGCAGTGAGCATCTGATGCTTTCATAATTTAAAAAATGATATAGAGTCACATATTTTTGCAATTTAACTGAAAATTAGGACAATCACAACTTTTTGTAATACAAATAGCTGATAGTAAATTATGAAGAAACAAACTTTGGGTTGAGTCACTCTTAATTATGTTACCCTAATACTAACTTCTTTGCATATCTCTTGTTTTGAAAGATCTTTAAAAAAAATGTTGGGGCTGGTGAGATGGCTCAGTGGTTAAGAGCACTGGCTGTTCTTGCAGAAGACCCAGGTTTGGTTCAGCACCCACTTGGCAGCTAACAACCATCTGTAACTCCAGTTCCAGGAGATCTGACTTCCCCTTCTGGACTCTGTGGCCATTGTGTGCATGAGTGCACTTACATCTTGGCTCATAAAATAAAAATAAATCCAAAAATTAAATCTGTTTATTAGGTTTAGTTATTTTGTGTAGGGGCATCCCATGGTGTACATGTGGAGTTCAGAGGACAACTTGCAGGAGTCAGTTCTCTCCTTCCACCATGTGGGTCATGGAGGGATCAAACGCAGGTCACTAGGTTTGGCAACAAGTGCATTTACCCACTGAGCCATCTCACCAGCTAAAAGATTTTTTTATTGTAAACCTTCTTTACTTTGTTTTTATTAAAGAGGTAATTACATGTTTCAAAAGTCAAAAAATGGTTATCAATGAAGACTTTAAACCCTTGTCCTCTACCCAATTGAACATCTCTTTTCAGAGGTGGTCAGTGGCCAGGTTCCTAGGTGTCTGCTGGAGTAGTCCCTGCATTTGCATGGTACCCATTAGTTTTTGCCCATGAACATGTGCTTTTGTTACATGGTTATATATGTGTACAAACTTAATATACAACATTGTGTTTTGTATTTTTTTAAAGTTATGTATTGTTCTTGATGCTACCTAGCCCTTATAAAGTTATTTTGACATTAAAAATGTCAAAGAGCGGGGGCTGGAGAGATGGCTCAGACGTTAAGAACACTGGTTGTTCTTGCAGAAGATCCGGGTTCGAATCCCAGAACCCACATGAAGCTCACAACTGTCTGTAACTCCAGTCCCAGGGGATCCGACAGCCTCTTCTGACCTCTGCGGGCATTGCATGAGACGGCTGTACTTACCTACATGGCAGGCAATACACACATACACATTAAAAAAAAAATGTCAAAGAACAATTACATCTATTTTGTATTGAAAGGTCCTGTTAGGACATCCAAAAAATCCTGGTATAAAAAACAAGTTTTGGGGGCTGGAGAGATGGCTCAATGGTTAAGAACACTGGTTGTTCTTGCAGAAGACCCAGGTTCGAATCCCATCACCCATATAGCAGCTAACAACCTGTCCGTAACTCCAGTCCCAGAGGATCCAACAGCCTCTTTTGACCTCTGTGGGTATTGCATGACACAGGTGCACTTACATACATGCAGGCAATACACGCATACACATAAAATAAAAATAATAAAATTTAAAAAAAGTTTTCATCTGTCTAAATCATTGTCTCAAACTGTTCATAAACAACTGTTAAATAACAACCTAAGTTACCATATATATCTACATCTTTCACTCCCTGGAGGTAATTCTTAATGAGTTTGTGCATATAGGGTGAATAGCATTTCCTAGCTTACACTGTGCCATATCAAAAAATGGCTTGGTTTTGAGGTTCCCTTGGAGTAAATCCAGGATGGACAGATGTGCTGTCTCCTAGGAAGAGAACACAATAGGAGATACCATGTAGGTTTTACTGATTTTATTTTTTGAGGGTAGAGAGTTGCAGAACACTTCTCAGTTAACATCTTTCTGCCTTATCTGATCTAAATCTGTAGTCCTGAGGATAGAAATGCCATTATACCTGGCACATTGGCTGTGCCACAGAGGACATGCCATGCATCCTAGATTTGGTTAAAGAAACCCAGTCAGGAAGATAAGTCATTTTGGTAGGTTTGCAAAGGACCAAGATGCTTTTTTTTTTTTTTTTGTCTTCATAGAGCCAGTATGCCTCAGAAGTGGCATTTCATTAGAGCTCATTAAAGCACAGGGCACTATTTAAAGCACCTGGGTCATCAGGCTCTGCGATTACACCTGCTAAGTCAGAATCTCTCCAGGTCTGGCCTGGACATACATGCTTTGAAAAATTCCCCTGCATGATATTAGTTAAGAATCACCCATTTAAAGAGAGGGTGATCCATGGGGACTGGACTAGACTGAAATATTAGTGGTTCACATGCTAAAGGAGTTATAACATTTATGTTTCTTTTATAGCATTAACAGCAATAGTGTCTTCAGTGTTCGCTTCTTCCAAACCACCCCTTTTTGCAGTAAGTACCTGCCTTCTTGTGAATGGAGTTTTACTGGAAAGAGCAACAACTGACTGAGTTTAATTAAAGAAAAACATTTAAAAGGACAAAATAGACCGCTTGTGATTTTTCTGTCTTTCTTTTTTCTAGAGAATGATGTGATTACAGTCCAAACCCCAGCGTTTGCAGAATCTGTCACAGAGGGAGATGTCAGGTGGGAGAAAGGTAAGATTCAGTATCTTATTTAAGTTAAAAACTTCCTGGCCGGGTGTGGTAGTGCACGCCTTTAATCCCAGCACTTGGGAGGCTGAGGCAGGCGGATCTTGGTGAGTTCAAGGCTACCCTGGTCTACATAGTTCCAGGACAGCTGGGGCTACAGGGAGACCCTGTCTCAAAAAGACCTAAAAAAAAAACCTTCCTAAAAGTCTCCTTTCCCTACATGACAGTCAGTGGAACCTTTTCTTTACATACACACCTACCTACAATCAGTCTCATAGGAAAGTGATCTTTTAATACATCAGGCTTTTATAAACGGGCTTTATGCTACTAGAGGCTTGGGGCTAACAGATACCCTTTATCTTTTAGCTGTTGGAGATACAGTTGCAGAAGATGAAGTGGTTTGTGAGATTGAAACTGACAAGGTGAGCTTATCCTATATTAGTGACAGTTTTTCATGATCATGCCTTCATTTAGTCTAAGTAAAGAGATAGGGACTTAACTGTTGTGTAAAGATAAATTTTAACTAGTTCTAATTTCTAGCCTCAATTGTAAAAGTTTAATTTTAGACTATGCTGCAGGTATGAACTGTGTACTTTAATCTAGTAGGGTTTTTTTTGTTTTCTTTGTGGCTCTTGAGCTGGTTTTTTGTTTGTTTGATTTTTATGTACTACTTGGAAACATATTAGCTGAATTTTGTTTTAATGTTTCCAAGAAAGAACAGAAGGGTGAATCTTCACAGTAGCAATGATCATGTCTCTGAAAACGTGGCCTATGTTTTCTGTTTTTGTGTGCAAACCTTGATATAACTGTGTTGCAACTCTTATGACTCATCCTGTTGGCTAATGCTAGGTAAAAATATGGTTTCTTTCTCCATCTCTCTCTTCCTTTTCCAGACATCTGTGCAGGTTCCATCACCAGCAAATGGCATCATTGAAGCTCTTTTGGTACCTGATGGGGGCAAAGTCGAAGGAGGAACTCCTCTTTTCACACTCAGGAAAACTGGTGGTAAAGAAGCTCTGGTGGTCAAGGTCCCCACCCCAGCATTTCTCTGAGGGATCAGGGCTGAGTGTACTCTCCTAGCAGTTCTCTTATACCTCATCCATTATGCTTTAGTTGAAGGGATAGGAGAAATCCTATTTATATATTGTGAACTTTAATTGTGAAGTTCTTAAAAAAAAAAACAGGGTAGTTTAAAAAAATACGAAAAAACACAGCTCCATAATACTCTGTTCTTTCCATGTTTCTCACAGTGGACCTTAAAGTCCTAGCAAAATGATTCTAAAGATAGTTATTCTCCCACTCCACACTTGAATCACATGGAGCTTTAAAAGTAATACAATTGGCTGAGGCTCTGAGCTCCAGGGATTTTGACTTATCACCCTGGTGGTATAGTTGGATTATTAATACTTGTTATTACTGTTTCCCAAGTGGTTCTCACATACAGCCAGGACTGAGAGCCCTGTTCTAAAGTGAGAATTACTATTTCATGGTGTCCATTATGGAGAATTCAGTGTAGCTTCTTTTTAAAAAATGTTTATTATTTATTTATTTTGTGTGTGTGTTTGTGTGTGGGTGCCCATATACCATGGCACATGTGTGAAGGTCAGAGGATAACTTGTAGAAGTCAGTTCTCTTCTGCCCTGTGGGTTCCAGAAATCAAACTCAGATGGTCAGGCCTGGTGGTAAGTGCCTTTACCCACTGAACCATTGTACTGGCCCTCAGTATATTTTCTTTTTACATTTATTTTCTCAAAATATCTCTAGGAACGATTGGCAAAAGAAGGGTACATGTATTGGACCTCATAATCATAAAACCTCATAAAAGATTAGAAAATCTTTTTCCGGGGCCAAAGAGATAGCTCACTGATTAAGAGCACTTAGCACTTTTGCAGAGGACCAGTGTTCTGTTCCCAGCACCCACATTAAGTGCTCACAACCATCTGTATTTCTAGTTCAAGGGGCCCTGATGCCCAATGTACATATACATATAAATAAATATATAAAAAATAAAAAAAAAAAAGATCTGTTTTTCTGACTCTTGTGTTTTATTTTTTTGAGACGAGGTCTCATTATATATCCCTGTCCAGGAACTTGCTGTTTGGACCAGGTTGGCCTGGAACTCACAGAGATCCCCCTGCCTCTGCCTCCTGTGCTAATTAAAGTCATGTTCCATCACACCTGCTTGACTCTTACATAAAATAGACTGTAGTAGTTACAGTATCTAACCGTTAAAGAGGGTAGTTTGCATCATTGAGGTTGATTAGGCCAAGACCACATTCAAAATGGGAGAAAAATCTAAAGCATCTAGGAAGAATGAATCTTCCAGATAAGTCCATCTTTTTTTCTTTTTTAAAAATTCTGTGTGTGTGTGTGTGTGTGTGTATGTGTATGTGTATGTGTATGTTTATGCACTCATGTACACATGCATTCATGTGTGGATGCAGGCATGTGTGTGTAAGTCAGAGGACAATTCTGGGTGTTGGTTCTTGACTTCCACCTTGTTTGAAACAGGGTCCCTTGTTCTCCGCTGTGTAGGCCAAACAAGCTGGGCCATAAGCTGCCAGAGATTCGCCTGTCTACACCTCCCATCTTTCCATAGGATTTCAGACTCATCTACTATGCCCAGCTTTACCAGGGTTCTGGGGATTTGAACTCAGGTCCTCATGCTAGCATAGCAAGCACTACCCACTGAGATGTCTCCCCAGCCTGAAGTCCATCCTTTTATCGTTCATTTCATACTGTCAAAAGAAAGTTCTAATGTAAAGATAAAACTGGATATACTGACCATATTAATGTTGTAGGCTTATTTATTACTTGAGCATCTCATTGATTTCTAATTGTTGAGAATTATCCTTATCAATCTTTTTATTTAACAACATAACTCTTCTTTATATTTTATTATTTTTATGTGTGTGCATGTATACATATACTGCCTGCATATATGTTAAGCGCGCCTGTGTTGTGCAGTGCTCTCGGAGGTCAGAAGAGGGTGTTAGATCTCCTGGAACTGGAGTTACAGACAGTTGTTAGCTGCCATGTGGGTGCTAGGATTTGAACTCGGGTCTTCTGTAAGAAGAGCCAGTGTTCTTAACTCCTGAACCATCTCTCCAGCCTCCTTAGCTCTTACTTCTTTATTTACTTATTTTATTTTTTTGGTCTTTTTGAGACAGGGTCTCCCTGTAGCCGCAGCTGTCCTGGAACTCACTATGTAGACCAGACTGGCCTTGAACTCAAGAAATCCGCCTGCCTCTGCCTCCCGAGTGCTGGGATTAAAGGCATGTGCCACCACGTCTGGCTCTTTTATTTTTTTTTAAATAAAAAATTTTTATTTTATGGGTATGAGTATATTGCCTGCATTTTTGTAAGTACACCTGTGTTTTGCAGTGCCTGTTGAGGTCAGAAGAAGGTGTTGGGTCCCCTGGAACTGGAGTTATGGAGCTTTTTGCCATGTGCATGTTAGGAACCAAACCTGGGTCCTCTGGAAGAGCAGCCAGTGCTCTTAACCACTGAACCATCTCTCCAGCCCCTATTAATATTGTTTTTATTATTATTTTTTTTAATTATCTGTATATATATGTGTGTGTGTCTGTGGAAATGTGTGTGTGTGAATTTGGGTCCTTAGATACCAGAAGAGGGAGTCAGATCCCCTTGATCTGGAGTTACAGGCTGTCGTGAGCTACCCAATGTGAGTGCTGAGAGCTGAATTTGGATCCCTCTGCAATACCAGTACATACTCTTAACTGCCAAGCTATCTCTTCAGCTCCTGAATTCTCAATCTTAAATAAGTCTTTGATTAAACTTTTATTTTTAATGGTTAGGAGTATTTCCTCTATATGGAATGTTAAAATAGAGGATGGATGTATAATGTAATTAGAAATGTGTTGTAGTTATGTATATGTTTCAACATTTTCAATTGACCAAGTGTTTTCGCTTGGAAGTTTTCATTTCCTTGGGCTTAATGGGTGCTTTGAATGTATTTGCTGGATTGGAAACATGAATATTTTCAATATTAATTGCAAAATCCATAAGGTAGCTGAATTGAGATATGTATGAGGTACATACATAGGGCCTACATAGTCTCTGGGACTAGAGACTAGTGACTTAATGTCACTGTATCTCATAGTGCCTTGCTTATAAATGCCTAGGAAACATTTGATAATGGATTGGAAATAGACCTTATATCACTAAATCCTACTTAGTGCCTGCAGTTTAGTTGCTTTCCATTCTAGACAGTGCCAATGGCATTTTTTTTCTCAGCTGCTCCTGCTAAGGCCAAGCCAGCTGAAGCTCCTACTGCAGCCTCCAAAGCAGAACCTGAAGCACCAGCAGTCCCTTCTCCCCCTGTAGCATCCATACCCACTCAGATGCCACCAGTGCCCTCGCCCTCACAACCTCCTTCTAGTAAACCAGGTAAGCTCCTGTGTTAGTTACTCATCTTGCTATAAAAAAGCAACTCACAAAAGCAACTTAAGGAAGGAAGATTTCTTTTGGGTCAATTTGAGGGTTGAGTTCTTCATGACAGGGAGCGAATGGTGGCGGAGCATGCAGCAGCTGCTCACACTGCCTTGCAGTTAGAAGCAAGAAAGATGAATGCTGGTGCTGTTTGCTTTCTTTTTATTCAGTCTGAGACCCCAAACCACATTCAGAGTAGTCTTTGCACTGTAGGAGTGGAAGGTGGAAACACCTTCATAGACACACCGTGTTTTATCTCCTAGAGGATTCCGAATCCTGCCAAATCAAGATTAACTGTCACAACCCCCAACTCCTAGGTGTCTATAGGAGAAGAACACGTCTTCTAATACCGTGTTCCCTTACCAGGTACAGTGAGATGATGACTAGGAACAAGCCAGGTTGGCTGTGTTGTAGAAAGAACTCTAGATTTTGAAGGACTAGGTTTGCATTCCAGCTTTTTATTTGCTAATCCTGTTGACTTTATCCTCATTATTTCTATGAGCAGATTGTTCATCTGTGAGTTTGAAATGATGCTAATATACCTTGAAGATAAAGTGATAATACAGTGGTGTAAAAGCATTGCACCTACTTAATAAACATTTCTTTCCATCTTTGATGTAGCTGTACCCTCTCTGATTTTCAGTGTCTGCAATAAAACCCACTGCTGCCCCTCCACTAGCTGAGCCAGGAGCTGCTAAAGGTCTGCGTTCAGAACATCGGGTAAGCCTATGAAGACTTTTTCTAGAAAAGTGGCAGAGGGGTGGTGTTGAGAATGATGGAGTGTGGGTGCTCTCCTTTGAAGAGGTGACACCTTATATCACTAGAGCCTAATGTTTTCTGCACACTAGTCTAGTGGCTTTTCCACTATATTATGCTACCAATGAAATGCTTTAGGTGAGTAAAATATTTTCAGAGAATGGTAGCTTAGTAACACATCCTTTTCTTCCCATAATGATACACGCTTCAGAGAGGTGGTTTGGTGAGCGCTCTATTCTTAGCTGTAGCTGAGGGATCAGGAAGGGGGATGGGCTGCATACTACAGAGTAGCAGTAAGCTGTCAGGACAGACATAAAAACCTCAAGGAAGTATGGTCAAGAGTGTGGGTTCTTTGCCTGAGAATTCTTTCTAAACCGTAGCCTCAAACAGGTTCTGGAGTTTCCATTCCATAAGCTATTCTCATGCAAGTCTTTACCAACAGAAATTGCCCTTTCTATAATGACTCTTAGTCTGGCTTAGATTCTTCCTTTTATTAAATTGGTTTTGGTTTTTAAATCACACCATTTCCTGGGCCTCTGTTCTTGGTCAAACTTCAGACACATCTGAATGAGTACTTTGGCATGTTTCCTTGTTACTGCTGTAAGGCCATCACATGGAAGGGGGGCCTAGAGCTGCATTCAGGAAGCAGGAGCAGGCAGATCTCTGTGAGTGCCACGCCAGCCAAGGCTACATAGTAAGACCCTGTATCAAAACAGAAAAAATAGTATTTGTCGTTCATCTGTGGCAGGCTGAGTTCTCTTGTTGACTACATGGGGATTATAGTCAGGCTGTCAATTCTTGTTCCACTTTCCTTTCAGGAGAAAATGAATAGAATGCGGCAGCGCATTGCTCAGCGTCTGAAGGAAGCCCAGAATACATGTGCAATGCTGACTACTTTCAATGAGGTTGACATGAGGTAGGATCTTTAGTTATAGTCTTTCTTACTCCCATGTCTGTGTTTCTTGAAGAACACTTGAACTTGCCCACTTTACCTACTGCTAATTCCAAAACTGGCTTGACCAGGAGAGATGTTTGATGTTTGTTTTCTTATAGTTGACACGCTGGTTTCATCTACTAATTTTTTTTTTTATTTTTGGTCTTTTTGAGACAACAAGTCAATATTTTAGTATATGGCTCCTCAGAGTTATTCAGAAAAACCCAGACACTGGAGATTCTGTTTATCTGCAGGTGAATCCACCAGGGTAATCAGCTTCTGAATGCTGTATCTACTAATTTTTTTTTTTTATTTTTGGTCTTTTTGAGACAGGGTCTCCCTGTAGCCCCAGCTGACCTGGAACTCACTAAGTAGACCAGGCTGGCCTTGAACCCACAGAGATCCACCTGCCTCTTGAGTCCTGGGATTAGAGGCATGTGCCACCACGCCCCTTATTCATCTGCTAATTTTCTAATACTATGCCTGCCTCCTCTGCAACTTAGAACCTTAGCATTTTGGACATTTATGCCTGAAATATTGAGATTTCTGATAAACTAAGATAGTGTAATAGTTTGTTGTGGGTTTTGGTGTGTGTGTGTCTCTGTCTGTTGTTTTGAGACAGGATCTAACTGTGTAGCTCTGGATGTCCTGAAACTCGCTGTGTAGATCAGGCTGGCCGCCTCAAATTCAGAGAAATATGCCTGCCTCTGCCTTCAAAGTGCTAGGGTTAAAGGCATACACCACCATTCCTGGCTTGTTTTTTTTGTTTGTTTTTATGTTTTTGATGCAGAGTCTTAAGTAGCCCAGGCTGGGCTTGAATTCTGTGTTGAAGTTATCTTCCTGCCTCCACCTCCTAAGTGCATGGAATTGCAGGCATGTTGCCCCCATGCCTAGCTGCACATAACAATTTTAAACTCTGATGGTCATTATTGGCTTGCCAAGCAAAGCTAAGACCAACTGAGCCAACAGGACCCACTTCCTCGCCAGCTGTCCCTTGGAATGGAGAACCCTTGACAGCATGCCCAGAACCAGGACTCTACACCCTGCTTCTTCCTTACAGTGACTAAGCAACTCAGAATCAGACAGATGAAAAGGCAGAGACTTGTCCGCTCTCACTTTTCCCAGGTGTTTTTAGTTTGGGTTTTGTTTTATTTTTTTTTTTTGAGACATGGTCTCACTATGTAGCCCTGGCTTGCCTAGAACTCACTTGTAGACCAGGCTGACTTGGATCTTAACAGAGGTCCACCTGCCTCTACCTCCCAAGGGCTGGGATTAAAGCCATGTGCCACCATGCGTAGCACTTTTCACAGTTTTGATAATGGAAATGGAAACCAAGTTGAGTTTCTGAGGGAGGGGGTGATGTGTGTGTGCACATACAGGTGTGCATATGCATGGATTTGAAGACCAGAGGTTAACTTTGTGTTGTTTCATGACTACTGTCCATCTTGAGTTTCTTTGTTTTATTTTTTTGAGACAGGTTCTTACTATGTAGCCCTAGCTGGCCTGGAACTCACAGAAATCTGCCTGCCTCTGCCACCTGAGTGCTGGGATTAAAGGCATACACCTCCATGCCTGGCATTTCACCTATTTTTTTGAGGCAGAGTTTCTCACTAGCCTGGAGTTTGCCAAGTAGGTGAGGCTGGCTAACCAGGTAGCCCCAGGAATCTGTTTCTACCTCCCCAATGTTGAGATTATAAGTGTGTACCACCATACCCAGGGTTTTTTATGTGGGTTCTGGGGATTTAACTCAAGTCTTCATACTTGCCTGGCAAATACTTTAACAACTGAACTATCTCCCCAGCCCCAAAAGAAGTTGAGTTCTGAAATAAAAACCTGAGATTGTTAACCATAGTAATTAATTCACTGTACCCATTCCTGTAGTGTACAGCTATCAACATTGTAAGGAAGAAAATAGTTTCATTTAACAAGCATTTTAAGTGCTTATCATATACAGTAAGAACTTAAGTGTATAATTTAGGGGGATACAGAGGTGAGTGTAAAAGCTCTTGAGAGTTTACTGTTTGATTTGGATGAATACAAAGTAAAAATCTAGAAAAAAAGAGCCAGAAAGATTAAATATGAAGTAGCGAAGGGGGAATAGTTGGGTTTTCTCTTGAAGGTTAAGGGTCGATATAGCAAGGGCAGAATCAGGGAAGGTCTCCAGGAGGAAGGAGTTTTAATAGCTTATCAAGAATGACAAGCATTTAAGCCAGGTAGGGCGGTACACATCTGTAATCCTGGATCTTGGGAGGTGGAGGCAGGAAGATCAAGAATTCAAGGATATCCTTAGCTACATAAAGAGTTCAAGACCAACTTGGACTATATCAGATCTTTAAGAAATACTGATGTGCATTTAGGTAAATTATATTATGGAGAGAGAAAGGTCATTCCAGTTTGGACTGTGACTCAGGCAAAAAAGCACGAAAAACAGGAAAATTCATTTTAGCCATGAAGAGTATGTGTAGGAGAAAATGTTAAAGAAGGCTGGGTCTAACCAGGTGTGGTGGTGCACGCCTTTAGTCCTAGCACTTGGGAGGCAGAGGCAGGCAGAGCTCTGTGAGTTCAAGGCCAGCCTGGTCTACATAGTGAGCTCCAGGACAGCTGGGGCTACAGGGAGACCCTGTCTCAAAAAGACCAAAAAAAAAAAAAAAAGATAAAAAATAAAGAGGGTTGGGGGTTGGGTCTGTATCATTAGGTTTTGAGTATCAGCATAAGAATTGAGTAAGTCAAAAGATATATCATATTTTCAGGGCGTCCGTCTCTTTTACTCTGAGTGTTAAGTCTGCTCATCTACTTTTCTCCAGTGAAATTTGTTTTTGTCCTTTGGAAGAGTTCTGAAAAATAGAAGTAGTTTATTGACAGTGTGCTGGCGTACTGACAGGGTAGGGCTTGGCTGATCTCTCTCAGTGTCACCGTTCTATTGGGAAGCTCTCTAGAGACTGTCATTTTCTGTACTGTCCGTAGTATTTAGGGAAGGGGCTTCCCTGATAAATCACAAAGGCTATGGCTTATGTTTCCTGCATTAGGGGCAAATTGTGTACAAATTGAATTGAACTGTGAAATTTTACCCAGTTTCTTAAGACAAAACATGTAAATATTTGTGTCCCTAAAAGATGCAGTTGGCCCAACAGGCTTTATTGGAAGATAAGTTTAATAGCTGGATCTCCTTTCAGCAGCTAATCTAGTGTCACTTTAGCAATGGCCTGGTGTCTCACTGCAGGCAGTAATCTGGTTTAGATCGAGTGCCTTTTAGGTCTTCTGCCTATCAGCTAACTCAGAAGAAACCCTTCTGAGACTTGCTCCTTTCCTCTGTTGTCCCAGCTCTGCTTCCAAGGGCAGAGCTCTGAAATAGAAACTCCTTAATGACCAGACAGTGCATTCTGGCTGGTCTGAGAACTGAGATGTTTATCACTTCTCTTTCCCTCCTTTGTAGCCCTTGTGTCTTGGGAACCAGTAATGTCTTTAGGGTAGTAATCCTAGCACTAAATGAGGTTAGACTCAGGAAAATAAGCATTTTAAACCCAATCAGTCTCCCTAGGAAAATTTCCTTTTTCAAAAACAAAAGGTCTGAAGGGGACAGTTAAAGTTGTGCCCCATCTTCTCTTTCCTGCTAATGTTGAATTAGGCCATTATAGGGAAAAGGGAGAACCAAGCATTTGAACCTGAAATAAAGTTAAATTCAATTTCCATCATGGAATGCTATTCCTATAATCACAGAAGTTCATGCAGGAAGATGATGGGAAAGCCATTTCTCGATAATTACAATGCATATGTGGGGGGAAAGGCTTTTTACCAAGCCCTGCTGCTGAATCTGAAAGAGACAGACCACAGCCCACCTGGAGCCACTTTCTAAATACCAGGGAAACCACAATTATTAAGACCAATCTTAAGAGCAGGCACTGTGTCTTGTCTTTGTATCTCGGTGCCCAGCCCTCAACCTCACATATGATGGTTATTAGTAACTACTTGATGAATAAGTGGATAGAACTGCTAACTCAGGAAATGAAGAGTGAATCTGCTGACTTTACATGAGCCTGAATAGTCATGAGCACTTTTGATTACATGTGATTACATGGAGCCCATATACCGCAGGTGTCTTTTTTCTTTTCTTTTTTTGCTAATCAGATAGAAGAAATGCCACAAAATAATTGGTTTGGATATTCTTTTTATTTTTTCTTTTCTTTTTTTTTATTTTTTGGTCTTTTTGAGACAGGGTCTCCCTGTAGCACGAGCTGTCTTGGAACTCACTATGTAGACCAGGCTGGCCTTGAACTCACAGAGATCCGCCTGCCTCTGCCTCCCAAGTTTGAGACTACAGGCATGTGCCACCACACCTGGCAATTTTTTTATTGTTTTGATCTTTTTTTTTTTTTGGTCTTTTTGAGACAGGGTCTCCCTGTAGCCCCCAGCTGTCCTGGAACCACTATGTAGACCAGGCTGACCTTGAACTCACAGAAATCCGCCTGCCTCTGTCTCCCGAGTGCTGGGATTAAAGGCATGCGCCGCCACGCCCGGCTCTAACATATTGTTTTTGTAGACTTTGTTTATACTTAAAACTTAATTAAAAATTTTTTTTTTAATTTCTATGTGTATGAGTGTATTGCCTGCAAGTGCATCTGTGTTATGCAATGCCTGTGGAGGTCAGAAGAAGGCATCAGATTCCCCTAGAATGGGAGTTACCGATGGTTGTTAACCACCATGTGGGTGCTGGGAACTGAACCTGGGTCTTCTGTAAGAGCAGCCAGCTATCTCTCCAGCCCCTAAAACTTATTTTTCTCAAAATTTTATTTTTGAGACCCTGGAGCCATAGGTGGCCTGGAACTCGCTATGTAGACCAGGCTGGCCTCAGTCTCACAAAGATCTGCCTGCCTCTGTGTGCTGAGTGCTGGGATTAAAGATATGTACCACCATGCCTGACCTTTTTTTTTTTTTTTTTTTTTTAAATTTATTTTTATTTTATATGTATGCATGTATTGCCTGCATGTAGGCAAGTGCATCCGTGTCATGCAGTGCCCTTGGAGGACAGAAAAGGCCATCGGATTCCACTGGAACTGGAGTTACGGACAGTTGTTAGCTCCAACGTGGGTGCTGGGACTCGAACTCAGGTCTTCTGCAAGAACAGTCAGTGTTGTTAACCATTGTGCCATCTCTCCAGCCCCCCTGACCTATTTTTTAAAAATTATTTTTTTGGGGGCTGGAGAGATGTCTCAGTGGTTAAGAATACTGACTGTTCTTGCAGAAGATCTGGGTTCAAATCCCAGCATCCACATGGCAGCTAACAACTGTCTGTAACTCCAGTTCCAGGGGATCTTACAGCCTCTTCTGTCCTCCAAGGGCATTGCACAACACGGGTGCACTTGCCTACACGCAGGCAATACACGCATACACATAAAATAATAAATAAATAAAATATTTTTTTAAATATATTTATTTGGGCTAGAGAGTTGGCTCAGCTGTTAAGAGCACTGGGTGCTCTTCCAGAGGACCTGGTTCAATTCCTAGTACCCACATGGTGGCTAACAGCTGTCCTTAACTCCACTCATACACATTAAAATAAAAATAAAATATTTTATTATTTTTTGTGTGTCTGAGCATTTTGTCTGCATGTATGTAAGTGCACCACATGTGTGCAGTGCCTGCAGAGGTCAGAAGAGGGCATTGAATCCTCTAGAACTAGAATTACAGATGATTATTAGCTGTAGCGTGGATGCAGGTCCTCTGCAAGAGCAGCCAGTGCTCTTAACCCCTGAGCCATCTGTCCAGCCCCTTATTTATTTTTAAATTTTGTGTGTGAGTGTTATGCCTGCATGTAATGTCATACAGTGCCTGTGGAGGACAGAAGAGGGTGTTGGATCCCCTAGAACTGGAATTACAGATTGTTATTAGTCGCCATATAGGTGCTGGAATTTGAACCTAGGTCTCCTCGAAGAACAACCAGTGCTCTTAACTGCTTGAGCCATCTCTCCAGCCCAGTATGTGATCGTTTCATGATATGTCACTGAAATCTGATTTCTAAAACAAGGAAGGAGCCCTTTAAAGGGCCTAGTTCATCTTTAAGACAGATTGGTGGGGGCTGGAGAGATAGCTCAGTGGTTAAGAACACTGTTCTTGCAGAAGACCTGGGTTCGAATCCCAGCACCCACATGGCAGCTAACAACTGTTCATTACTCTATTGCTAGGGGATCCAACAGCCTCTTCTGTCCTCCATGGGCATTGCATGACATGGGTACACTTAGCTACATGCAGGCAATACACGCATACACATAAAATAAAAATAATTTTAAAAAAAGACAGATTGGCACCAATTTCTTTAGATCCAGTTTTTGAAAAAGAACAGGTTATTATGTTGACCTCTAGTGGATGTTTCAAAACTTGAACGTAGGTAGGTGATCCAGAGTAAGGGAAAAGCTCACTCAGTTGTATACATGGGAGAAACCTTTGTGAGTCAAAATCAAGGCTTCACCTGGGTCTGGTGGTCCAGTCCTATAATCCTTGCTACTCAGGAAATTGAGGCAGGAGAATTGTAAGTTTAAGGCGAGCCTGAGTGACTTCATTGCACCCTGTCTTGAAATTTAAAAAGGGACTAGGGGATAGAGTTCAGTGATAAAGCACTTGCCTAGCTGCCAGCATTGTTCAGTCTGTAGACACATACAAATCAGGCCTTCATACACAGTTTCTTTGTATCATGTATTTACAGTAACATCCAGGAGATGAGAGCTCGGCACAGAGATGCTTTCCTGAAGAAACATAACCTCAAACTAGGCTTCATGTCTGCATTTGTTAAGGCCTCAGCCTTTGCCTTACAAGAGCAGCCTGTTGTAAATGCAGGTAAGTTTCTTGAGACTACTGTGGCAGAGGTCTTTGGAGGTAGGTGTATGAATACAGACTACTCCCACATGTAGGGGTCAGCAGACTTAAGGCTTTTTATTTCACCTTCCCTAAATGCCATCATCATTTCTGTCACCAGGTGGGCAGAATGGTTTTTCCTTCTAATGTGCAGCTTGTCTGTCAGCAGGCAGTTCTGGGACAGCCCAGCTCTCTGGGCTGTCTCATGTCATAGGTTAGTTCTTCCCTTTGTTACTTGACTTCCACATTTGGCATTGGCCCAGTGGATCTCAGGTCAGCAGGCCTCATTGGGAAGGCTTGGGTTTGGCCTGTCTTTCATGGACTTGGTACTTGTTTTCTTTTGGTTTTACTTTTATCATAGAAGTGTTGATCCAGCTCACAGTTCTCTTCCTGTTGAGGCACTTTTGTGCTGTGTTCCTTGGAAGATAGGAAAGGGGACAGTGATACTTTTGCACTCCTCAGTAAAAGAGCCCTAGTCTTCTCCCATTGGATGGTGGTATCCAGGTAAATAGTAGGCTGTCTCTGTTTTGCCCAGATGTGCTTCTCTTTTTGTCTCATTCTTCTCACACTTTCCTGACCTCCATTTTTTCTTTTGACCTCCTTTTTTTTCCTGCCTTCTCCTGCTTGTAGGTGTTTCTAAGTTCTCTTTTTCATTTGACATACATTGTAACCAATACATCATAGAGACTTTGGAAGAGTCCCAAGCCTTTATTTTCTCATGAGTTCTAGTTATTTTTAGCTGCTGTTTTGCTATTTCAAGATGGCATATTTAAAAGCTAAACCCCTCTACTTCCTCCTGAGTCTTCCAGAGAGAGGCTTCCCTATTCCTCTTGCTGAGGGGAAGCAGAATGGGCAGCGCCCCTCCCCTTCCTCTTCTTTGCTCATTTGCCTTTTTGGAGCACTTGTTAACTCTAGTCGTCTTCTCTGCTCAGGGCTTGAACAGAGCTAGCAGATAAGAAATTAATGTGCTTGTCCCCTATGGAGTCCTCAGTGAGTTATTTTCATGTTGTAGTTATTTTCATGTTGGTTGGTCAGCCCATACTGCATTGGGCACTGAAAATTTCCACTTTATTAATGTAAATTGTAGTTTATTTAGCTTTGGCGAGGAGGGTTGTATGTAACGTGTTTTCTCTCTCATAGTGATTGATGATGCAACCAAAGAAGTGGTATATAGAGATTATATTGACATCAGTGTTGCAGTGGCCACTCCACGGGTATGTTGGGGCAAGAGTTGAGAGTGCTGATCTTAGATCTTGTTTATGTGATTTTAGACCTTGTTTATGTGAAAAAACAGATCATAGCGCTAGAGAGATGGCTCAGCAGTTAAGAACACTGGCTGTTCTTGCAGAAGACCCGGATTTGAATTGCAGCACCCACATGGCAGCTAACAACTGTCTATAACTCCAGTTCTAGGGGATCTGACAGCCTCTTCTGTCCTCCTTGAGCATTGCATGATACAGGTGCACATCACATGGGAGAAATTATTTCTGTCATTCTATGTTTTTAGGAGGTCATTAGTAAAAGTTTTTTTTTTTGTTTTTTTGTTTTTGTTTTTGTTTGTGTCTTTTTGAGACAGGGTCTCTCTATAGCCCCAGCTGTCCTGGAACTCACTTTGTAGACCAGGCTGGCCTTGAACTCACAGAGATCCATCTGCCTGCCTCTGCCTCCCAAGTGCTGGGATTAAAGGCGTGTGCCACCACACCCGGCTGATTTTTTTTTTTTTTTTTTTTTTTTTTTTAAACCATACCATTTTCTTTCATCTTTTTGCAGGGCAGGGGGTGTTTTTTGAGATAGGTTCTCCCTGTAGCCCCAGCTGGCCTCGAACTCACAGAGATCTACCTGCTCCTGCCTCCTAAGTATTGGGATTAAAGGCATGAGCTACCACACCCAGTTTATATTCTTTAATTTAAGGCCTGGTAATCACAGTGAGTTTAAAGTGTTCTGGTTGGGGAGAACTGTGCATTAAATCAAGGAAGTGGTAACTATAAAGTGTATTGTTATTTTATAACTGAGAACAGCTTTTCACTCCAGGGTCTTGTGGTTCCTGTCATCAGGAATGTGGAAACTATGAATTATGCAGACATTGAACGGACCATCAATGAGCTAGGAGAGAAGGTAAAGTGAAATATGTGCACAGCTGCTGGAAGTTGAGGGAACAAAGCCTACAGAAGGCTAAGCTTGCCGGAGAATATTACTGCTTAAGGAGCTAGGGTCTTGTTCCCTAAGAAATGTATAGTCTCCAGGAAAAGCAGTAGCCCATAAAAGCTAGATAGAGGCATCTGGCAGAGTCTCACATGCTCAGATCTCATTAGTCAAAACCTGCTGGCGGGAGGGGAGACTGGAGAGGTGGCTCAGCTGTTAAGAACACTAGCTGCTCTTGCAGAAGACCTGGGTTCAGTTCCCAGCACCTACAAGACTTAACTCTAGTTCCAGGGGATCTGATGCCCTCTTCTGGCCTTCATGGGCATTGTATGGGCATTGTATGGCACAAGGGCACTTACATGCAGGCGGTATACTCATACACAAAATTAAAAATATTTTTAAAACCTGCTGGAGGAGGAAAGGATGGTTGTGGAATCATGCTTTTTCTCTTGTGGAGCACTAGTCACAGTCACTTTAGCTGAACAACTATCCTGTGGAAGCCAGAGGTTGCACTGTTGATCTCAGCCTTGAGCTTTCTGGATTTACTTTTTCAGGCAAAGAAACCTGGTTTCGCTTAATGTTTCCTTTTTGAAACTTGTTTTTAGGCTCGAAAAAATGAACTTGCCATTGAAGATATGGATGGTGGTACTTTCACCATTAGCAATGGAGGAGTTTTTGGGTCTCTCTTTGGAACACCCATTATCAACCCCCCTCAGTCTGCCATCCTGGGCATGCACGGCATCTTTGACAGGCCTGTGGCTGTGGGAGGCAAGGTAGGAACCATCATTTCTAAGGCTGTACCAGCTAAGGGGCAGTAAGAGAGAAATCTAACCAAATGCTCATTACAAAGCATTCACTACAATTTCAGGCTTAAGTTTCATTTCTTAGTTTCTAATTAATAGTTAAGACACTGGTTCTAAAACTGGTCTTTTTAAAAATGCAAATTCTAAGTTGTTACCACCTTTACTCCCAGCACTCAGAAGGCAGAGGCAGGCAGATCTCTGAGATTGAGGCCAGCTTGATCTACATAGTGAGTTATAGAGAGACCCTGTCTCAAAATACCAAAAAAAAAAAAAAAGTTGGAGAACCATTGAGTTAAAGATGCTTTTGCCCATTGCTCTGGGACTTGTTGACATACATCATTGTCAAGGTGCCATCGGTAGTTGGAGATAGAGTTTGAGACATGCTGCTTGCTCCTGGAAAACAAGGCAAGAATTCACAGCAATCTTATGAACTATGGATTTGTATGATAAGGCTTATAAGTTTTCTGGGAGTTCAAGGAATGAGGTCAAAGGAGCTTGAGCTAGCTTAGTTGGAAGGTAAGGTAGTAGGGGAAAATAGCTTTCTGGGACTTCTTTGTTTTGAACCTTTTTTGGTTCACTGACTCCTCTGTGGAAAATGGTTGCACACCTAACTATATATGTTAGCAGAAATTTTGAACTCAAGATTAAAAGTTTTTTGTTTTTTTTTTAAGGCCAGATATAATGAGTTGGTAGAACCCCTATGTAGCATGTACAAAACCCGGAGTTAGATCCAGCACTGCATAAACTGGGTGTGGTAGTGTATGCTTGTAGTCCTGGCATTCAGGAGCTGAGACCAGAGGATCAAGAGTTCAGTGTCATCCTTGACTATATAGAGAGTTTGAGACCAGACTGGGTTACATGAGACCTTGTTTCAAACATAAACAAAAAAGCCTTTTTTCTCTCTAAATTTTAATTTTAAGGCTGGGGATCAGTGCTTTGTTTGATCAGTGCTTGCCTGGCATACTCAAGGCCCTGTATTGGAGCTACAGCATTACAAGAAATAACAGTGATAAAAAAGATTAAAGTAGCTCCTACAGGCAGCCAGAACTGAAGGGAAAATCTTTTCTGTAGGTAACAGATTAGAGGGCAAGTATAGCTTTACTTATTTGTTTTAAGGCAATTTTGAGAGACTGTTTTCCTTGTTTAAACTTTTTTCTGAGTCAGGGAGCTTTGCATTAGGAATAAAGCTTGTTCTTTAAAATAATCATAAGTTATCAAGAGGCAGCATTGGTAGGAAAGACTTTGGAACCAGGATTGTTATTGATAAGGGCTTTCTCACCTCAGTAAGGCTTTCTCTAATCTGCTGAATATAGATCTGTTGACCTTTTCTCTCTGCAGGTGGAGGTGCGACCTATGATGTATGTAGCCCTGACTTATGACCACCGGCTGATTGATGGCAGAGAGGCAGTAACTTTCCTCCGCAAAATCAAGGCAGCAGTAGAGGATCCAAGAGTCCTCCTCCTGGACCTTTAGGTGGAAGCCACACACCCTACCAACTGATCATATAGGAACTGAAAACCAGTCTTCTCCCTGTCCCCTCATCAGTCCCAGGTTAGCCTGGTGACAGGCAGACACATGCTGTTGGCCTCAAGTAAGGAAGCCAGGGCACTTTGTAACCAGCAGTTGCAGGTCTTTTCTTGGTGTTCCTTTTAGGTTCTCTCCCTCTCTCTGTCCCTCTCTTGCCTTCTGTTATCTTGGGCCTGAGAGAGCCTTAATGGATGCTCATTAATATGCCTGCCTTTCCTCCAGCCCTCTGCAAAGACAATTTTGCTTCTCCCCAGTAATAGTATATTATAGGGAAACCACCGGGGACCATGTGATTGAGTTTCTATTTTTGGAAAGTGTCTCCAGAGATTCCTAAGGGGCTGCTGTGCCTCCCAAGCTCAGAGCAGCCTCGGTCCCAGCTGTGCACATTCTCACTTGATGCCACCTGTGTGGGGGTTTTGAACACGAGGAGGTGCTGCTTTGCTTCTTAAATGCACCATCATTCCCAGCAGTCCGTGACTTCCAGATGCCTCTCTACCTCTTCCAGGAAGCACAGACCAAGGGATTGGGGGTAGGAGGGATTATACAGAGTTCCCTGAGGTTACATGTAATCACAGATGGGAGCAGCACTCCGGCCTGCCCTCACAGTCTGCATTGTAGGCTCACACTGGGAAGATTCATTTCGGCATAATCACATACAGCTGTGGTCATGCTAACCCTTTCCAGGCTGCTAGGAACCATTCTAGGGCATTGTTCTCATTTAGAGCAGATTCTAGCACATCATGGCAGTGGGACAGAGCCTGGTGAGGGGACTGGTTCTGACCAGCTCAGGTTGACTTGAGCTTTTAAATTCAAGGTAGTAATAAGCATGTGGCCTAAGGAGGCTGTTTCCTCCCTTCCTGGGTTGTGGCCTGTGGGGAGTGGGGTCTAGGTGCCTCTGTTGCAGGACCCAAATCTAGGGGAGGACGAACTATGGTGGGAACCTGCCTGAAGAGTTATTATTTAGTAATGAAATAGATGATGTCATCTCTAAGGTCCTGCCCTTTGCGTGCAGACAGAATCATTGGAATTTCTTGAAGCATAGTAAAATGCAAGCAACTTGTCATGTAAGCCACTGGGCATAATGGTTTTGTTTCCAACTGCACTGAGGCCTGAGACTGCTGACATTTGACGGGGGGCCATTAGTGCCGAGATCCCTTTTTTATTGTAATCCAAGACAAGGCTGGGGTGGGGGTGGGGCCAGTCCTGAGTGCCTGCAGCATCTGCTATGTTGTCTTCACCATTCAGAACATGAAACTGAAGTATTTAAAGAGGCTGATTTTGAATGAAAATTAAAGGGCAAATGTTCTCAAACAGGGTTCCTGTATCTGTGTTCCTTCAGTCTTTGAGGTTGTGTACCCCACCCCCCAGCAATTTTGCAACAATGCAATCGCTGCAAAATTGAGTTTTGAAAGTTCCTGCATATTGAGTTGGCTATCCAGGGTTATTTCATACCTTTTTTCTGGAGGCACTAGGCATTGAACCCAGGACCTTGTATGCTCTTGTCACTGAGCTGCTTCCCCAGGCCCCTGTTCCATACCTTTCACATGTTAACACTATCCTAATTTATCAGAGATGGAACCCTGGCACTGCCAGATGGGGAAAAATTCTATGAATCTAGTGTCCCAGCTTCCTTTCAGGAGCCCTGTGGGCCCTGGCAAACCAACTCTTCCTATGTGAAACCCCTTAAAAATACCAGGGGACAGTTGCTCTTGGGGGAGGGGATATTTGCATCATATCTGACATGGATTGGAGAGAAGTGAGCACTTCTAATTGCACTTGGACTTGGTTGCCCTATGTGTACCAAGATGCTTGAGGTTAATATGAAAAAGTGAGGTCACCTCTAACAAACAGTAGTCACAAGGGCAGTAGACAGGACAGGTGGATAACCTAGGCTGCAGATGACAGGTGTGACAGATTCTAGCCTTAACTACAGCCTTTTTCACACGAGTTTTATCTGATGATCCTGCTTGTAGTGAGGCCATCCCTCTGGAGGCCTGTCACCGGAAGGAAGTGGATCTGAGGACAGAGGGATTGCAGTTTACCGGTAGGTGGGTTCAATAAAAGGAAAAACTTGAGAATTTGTATCTGGTCTAGACCTTGTGTTACAAGCTATAATTTTTCAAGTAAACCTATGAAGTATTAGTTGGCTCCATTTTATTAAAAGGTCATCCATAATCTTTGCCACAGCTAGGACCAAACAGGGCTCAAGAGTGCCAGATATACAGTGTGTTGGCTAGATGAGGCCCAGAAATGACTTGTACGTCATAAAGCAGTGGTTGAAGTAGGCTTTATGGGTTGTCACAGAAGGAGCATGTACTTGTAAGTCGACTCCAGCAGGTTCTAAGTTAACCTCTTGACCTGTTTCTCAGGAGATACCATCTTTCAAGGGGTCACTGTAAGGCACTTTCCAAGGTTTCTCTTTACCACCTGTAGAGTTCTGTGTCCCCCACAACCCACCGCGTCTCTTGAGGGCTGCTTTGTAGAAGACAGACTGCTTCCCTTGTAATCTGCCCTTTGCAAGTCACTCACTACATTAATGATGCAAGGGCACTGCAGGAAGAACAGATTTTATTGGAGGGTGGGGAAACCCCAGGGACTGCAAGATGGGGGCTATGGAGCATGGAACAGGGGTTGTGCTTTCCCCTGTCATCTGGCCCAGAGTCAGCCTAAGAAATGGGAATCTTGGGACTCCCTAGGACACCGGTATTTGGTGGCAGTTGCCCAAGTGGTGAACAGTGTTAGACACCACTTGGTTGTGGTATAGACACACGGTCTAGAAGGATATAGGAATAGATCAAGTGAAAATTTGTGGCACGTGCCACACCACAGAGACTGGATAGGTCCTGAGAGGAGCCCTCAAACCTAGGGAGGGGCATTGTCTTTGGGGATAGCCACTTACCCCCCCCCCCGCGAGTTCTGAGACCAGAAACACCTGGCCAAAAGTGTGGGTAATTTGTGGCTTTTTATCCCAAAAGTCATAGTGGGCAGTGAATTGAGTACAACCTCGTGACCAAAATGCTGAATGACAACCAATATGAAGAGACTCCCCTCTTGGATCCATGGGGTAGGCTCTCCTGACAGGGAAGAAAGCTCTTTATTTGGTTTTCAGGCTTGGTCTAAGTGGAAAAACTGCATTCTTAACCTACCACCCCTTAGCCCTGCCTTCTCCTGACTTCTTTTGTTCTCCAAAGTCAAATCACAAGTTAGGATCAGGAGGGTAGAGTGGATCATCCATCCTCTCATCTCACCCTACAGACTTCCTTCTCACCTTCCCTGTGCTTGTGGGAACAGTCTCTAATGGAAACAACCTACTGGCTGCATGACTGCAATGGACCCAGAACAGCCCTAGTTTGGATCCGGAGGATCAGTGTCCTGAGATGAGTCTCCAGAGTTGTCCAAAGTGGGGTACAATATGGCAGTGTCACCAAACTTGTTGGTTGGCTCAGCAGATGTTCAGCAGTTCAGAACTTGAGTGACAGCACCCCTTAACATGACTGATCCATGTTAAAGGTACAAGGTGCTCAACAGGTGTCTACTGACTAATGACTTCAGGTTGCTCAGCAGGGTGGATCTTACCGACCCTCCAGCAGCTTCCCCAGGGGCTGGCCTTTACGGGACAGTAGTCATTACTATAGGCCCAAGCAGGTTGCTGAGCTGCGCTGCCCCACTGTCTTCCCCTGAAGTCCACAGATCAGAGGGGCCAGCTCAGATGGCAGGCAAACAGGAGATCCAGGCTGGCTGCTTCCTTGCCTACTAACCCACCTCTTACCCCACCAGTCTGCTCCATTGGATAGTACTGAAAAAGGGGTGGGACTTGAGTTTGCTGGTGCCTCCTCCTCCAGCACCTAGTCTCCGCTGGGGCTCAAACTGCAACAGCTGAGGGGTGAGACTCAGTCAGCACTCTGCAGCTCTTCCCCACCATGGAGGCAGGCACCCACCTCCTGGGATTCCTTGTGGCCAAGGCCCCTAGAGTGCTCACTCCCTCCCCCCAACATTGGTAGTAGTTAGTCACAGACATTTGTCACCCTATTGCCTTCCAACTTACATTAACACATAGAACTCACACGATTATGGTGTTTCCATCTTCCCATCTCCCACCCACAGGCCAATCATCTTACCTCAGTCAGCAGCGAGGCTGCTGGGCGACTGAGCCACTCCGGCAGCTGGAGCTGCGTGTGGGCCTGGAATCCTGAAGGGTGGCTCTGGGACAGTGCCTGGGGAAAACACAAGGAGAGGCCTCTGAAGAGGCCACTCCAGGAAAGTCTATACCCTAGTGGCAGCCAGGACTTGCTCCACCCCCATGACACATTCCATGAGGAAGAGGATGTTGATGCTAGGATCTGGTGTGTGCCAGACACTGTACTAGACCCCAGGCATACTGTATCCATTAAAGAAGCAAAGCTGGCGCAGGAAAAAAAAAAAAAAAAAAAAACTTGGTCTGTCATCAGGGTTTAAACCCAGGTTTCTCGGCAAGCTTGTTAGATCATCAATCCTGGTTGTAATTAGGCTGGACATTCTATTAGTGTTTAATTACATCAACCCTGGTTGTAATTAGGCTGGACACTTAGAGTGCTAAGTTCCACTCTAGCACTGGAACTTGTTAAAGAAAAAGCCTCCACAAGCTATTCATTTGACAGCCGGGTATGCTGCCATCAAGGCCATAGCAGGATGTGGTGACCAGAAAGCATAACTCTCTGCAGCTAAAGATGTAGCTTTGGAGAACAAAAGTCTGTTGAGGTAAGGAGGAGCTTCAAGAAGCTCTCAAAAAGAAGGAAGCCCAGGAGAGCCATGTCAGGGCTTGGGGATATTTGTAGGCAGGGTTCTCAGACACCCTGAGCTATGGAACAAAAGCAGGAGAGACTGGTCAGGTCTGGCCTTTAGGTCACACCATACCTATCTCAGCTGTTTCCTGCTCAAATGTTGGCCTCTCCCTTCCCTTGCTTCCCAATCTAACTAGCTCCAGATGAGCTCATATGGGTGGAGGCCAGAGGGCAAAGTCTCCATCCTGGACAAGTGGATTTTCTTTTGTGTATGCATGTGGAGGCCAGATATTGCTGTCCAGTGTCTTTCCTGTCTTTCCTCTGTTGCTTTTTTTTTTTGGAGACAGGGTCTCTCTGTAGTCCCAGCTGGCCTGGAACTTGCTATGTAAACCAGACTGGTTTCAATCTCAGAATTCTGCCTATCTCTACCTCCCGAGTGCTAGGATTAAAGGAATAAGCCACCATAATGGCTTTTTTTTTTTTGAGACAATGTTATTGAACCCAAATCACACTGATTGGCTAGACTGGTGGGTCAGTGAGCTCTGAGGATCTGCCTGTCCCACCCCCACCCTGCCACTAGGGTTACAGATGTACATTACCACACCTGGCTTTTATGTGGGTGCTGGGGATCAAACTCAAGTCTTTATACTTGAGCAGCAGATGCTTTACCAGCTGAGCCACCTCTCCAGCCCACAAGTGGGTTTGGCTGACCAGGCTGACTGGCTTGAATGAAAGTGCCCTCTCCCTTCCTCCAGCTGAGGTCTAGGAGACCTGGAATATGATCCAGAGGCCTTCCAGGAATGCTTGTCTAGAAATCTCTATCACATATCACATACCATTCATAGAAGTTGACAGTCTCCTTAGCAATAGCCCCTACTGTGGTGGGAGAGACTTCCTCTACTGCTGATGGCCTAATGAGTTTAAGAACATCCAGCCCAAAGGACAGGCCTGGAAAAAAAGGCAACCTCTGCTCTGACCCTGGCCAGCTGGCTAAGCCTCTGCTCAACCTGTACCCAGTGGCCTCCCCCAGGGCTCTACACTCTGCCTGGCTACTCACCATTCCTGTGAGCAGCTCATACAGTAGTGACCCATAGCTCCACCAGTCACAGGCTTCGGTCAGCTCAGAAATACCCCCAACCTCTACGGGAATAAGAACACATATATCCCTGCTTCACACAAAAGGACCCTCTCCATTCTCATCCTAGAGCCCACTGTCCATCCTCTGACCTCAAACCATGCAAAGGCACCCAAGATCTAGGTACCATCCCCACCCCAACTCCTTGCCTGGGGCACTGTACAGGCAGTCTACAGCTTCCTGGCTGCACTGGGGCTCCACTTCGGACCATTGGCCAAAATATGTGAGCCGGATGTGACCTTGTCCATTGTATGCAGGGAGGAAAGAAGGGGACAAGGTTGAGAATAGCATTACTGAACATGGTATGTCAAGATGGTCCCAGGGCTTCCCCCAGCACAGTCACACAGCAGGTAGAGGCTACCTAAGGACATGGCCCCTTGGAGCCCAGAGCTCAGGGATGTTCCTGGGAGCTGCTGCCCCAGCCTCAGGTCCTGTGTGAAGGCCCAGATGGAGGCTGGCAGAAGCGGCATGAAGCCCTATAACTTTGGAGGTCCCCTTGACCCTGGGGACCTCCACCTGAGGAGTGGGGTGGAGACAGGGTAGCTGTGGCTCCTACCTGCCTGGTCCAGAAGCAGGTTCTGTGGGTTGAGGTCCCGACACAGCACCCCTTGCTCGTGTAGTGCTTCCAGTGCCACTAGCATCTCAGCTGCCCACTGTCTCACCTGTTCCTCCTTCACACTCCAGAGAGCTCTGCTGTACCCCCACCTGGCCCTGTTCACTGATGGGGGGCTCTGACCTCTGCCTCGGCCACAGCCCCCCAGCACCCGACCAGCCCCCTCTCGAACCCAGTCCAGCCCCCTAGTGGACCCAGGGTTCAAGCTCTGACCAGCTCGCTTGACTTGACTGCGCAAGTGGCCTCTTGGGGCTTCTGTGAGGTCTGAAGAGCAGGAAGTGCTGGTCCCCGCTGAAGGCTCACTGCAAGCCTCTTTCTGGGGTCTGAGGGATGGGGCCCCCTTAGCTGGAAGAAGGCTCTGAAAAGTCTGTGGAGGCTCCAGAGGGATTTTGTCCTGCCCCATGGTGTGGCTTGGTGGGAGCTGTGCTGGAGTCATGAGGCTGAGACAGGTGTTGAGCTGGGCTTTCGACTTCTGGGCAGAGCCAGGCCTGAGCCTAGAATGTTGAAGGTGTGCCTGGGAAAGCAGGTGGGACCAGAGAGTACCTCCTGGGCCAAGCAGAGGAAGTGAGAGCATGGAAAGAGAGAAGAAGAGTATGGAAGCCAGGTCCTGACCCACTCTCACCTTCCCTCCATCTTGGCATGGCCCATCTGCCTCCTAGGAGTCCTGGCCTTGCTCAGCCTTCTCACCACCCCCCTCTTCCACTTCCAAGCATATAACAGGCTCTCCTCTGCTCTGACCCATTTACAGAGAGCTGGGCCTCACAGCCAGCATACCCTGTATGCTTAGCTCAATGCTTATATATGTATTTATATTTTATTATTTTTATATTATGTGTCTGAGCATATCGCCTGCATGTGTGTAAGTGCACCCAAGTCGTACAATGCCCGAGGAGGTCAGAAGAGGGCATTGGATCCCCTGGAACTGGAGTTAGGATGGTTGTTAGCCACCATGTGAAATACTGGAAATCACACCCAGGTCCTCTGCAAGAGTAGTCAATGCTCTTAATCGCTGAACCAACTCTCCATCCCCAACGTTTATATATTGTTAATGACCTTGGTTGAATGGAGTGTTCACCAGTGTTCAATATATAATTTCTTTTGTTTTAGGGAGAATGGTATCACAAAAGGTAAAGACAGTCAGGATCTACAGTGACTGAATGTCATGAACCAAGGATGTACCTCTTATTTACTTTTTATTATTTATTTATTCATTTATTTATTTACTTATTTATAGATGATCTCTCTATGTAGCACTGACTGGCCTGGAACTTTCTATGTAGACCAGGCTGACCTCAAACTCACAGAGACCCATGTGCCTCTGCCTCCCAAGTGCTGGGATTAAAGGTGTGCCCTATCACACCCAGCTGGACTTCATATTTAACACCACTTAATGTCTGCTACATGGCCCAGATCATGTCCTTAGAGTTTTAGTTACCAACCACCCCACATGGCCCTGACCAGAAAGTGAAAAAAGCCAAGACTAGGGAAAATGGTGACAAAAGACACAGGCCCATGAATACCCTCCTCATCTGCCCAGGGTGTGGACATCAACCTCAGGACATCCCCTGCTCACTTGGGACCACACAGAAGCCCACAGCAGCCTGGCCTTTCCATCAGCCTCCAGCTGAGCCCCCCCCCCCCCGCATCTGTGCCACACACCTGAAGCAAGCCATACCCCTCCTGAGGGCCCAGGATTTGAGGGGGTAGGTAACAATATTCCAAACCCTCAAGGAGCTGGTGGGGACCCCACAAGCCCCCTCACCTTGCACATGCTCCAAGTGCAAGAAGATGGAATCCTCACTCACAAAGTACCGCAGTAGTTTTGTCATATAGGGAACTCCATGCGGGATGATAGTTAACCGCTCTCGGCTTACGGTGTGGCACCTGGGAAGGCTCTGAGGTGGTGACAAGGCAGGTGGATGAGCTGATGCTGTTATCAGACATCCTTGCCCTGGCTTCAGGACAGCAGGTTATGAATTAGGAACCAGTCTGAGGACCAACTGCCTCCCCCAGTTCCTGGCCCTGTCCTTGTGCCTATTATCCTATGGAATGATAGGATGAGTGTGTGTGTGTGTGTGTGTGTGTGTGTGTGTCTGTCTGTCTGTCTGTCTGTCTGTCTGTCTGTCTTGGAGGCAGGGGCAATGCTCAGAAGCAGAATAAACAGCTTTTGGTTTTGGAGGGAGCATGGGCTTCGGATGCACATTCTGGGGCGGGGGTTCCCCAGAGGGCAGGAGTCTAAAGAGCTCTGAAAGTTCCAAGTGGAATGCAGCATGGTGGCAGCTGGGCAGCACTTGCCTTCACAATGAAGGTCCCTCCAGTTGCTGGATCCTGGACCAACTGCACCTGCCAAAGTCCAGGAGGCACTGGTCAAGGCATGTGTTAGTCCCTGGAATTTCTATACCCTCAGGTTCCTCCATTGTGCTGACTCACTTCAGGCAGGGGAGGGAGCATGGTCCCTTCCCCAGGCAGACATCCATCCTGTCCTGCTTACCCACCCTTGCTAGACCTGAAGGTCTAGACTCTGTTCTTTTTACTTTTTACTCCAGCATCTGGGGCTCCTACCCCGTCACCAGTGCTCTCTGAGCTCACCCTTGGGGGAGACTGCTCGCACTATCTAACCTCCTATCTCACCTGGTTGTAAGCTCCATGAGGGCAGGGAAGGGACCACCCTGCCCAGCTTGGGATCCCCACATTCCTGCATAGTGGAGCAATAGAGCAGATGCCTTACCTATGCATAATGAATGGCCCAGGCACTAGCTGTTAGGGTTAGGGGAGCCCTCATGTGAGAATATCCCTCCCCCTACCTGCTCACCCTAGCCAGGCCCCACATGGCCTGAGGACAGCTGAGATCAGGCCCTCATCTCAGGCTTGGCCAGAGCCTGCTATCCTTCAGGAATGGTGTCATGGCTGAAGCATCTCAGAGCTACTCACTTCCTCTGAGCCTTGTTTTACAAGTGAAGCTGCAGTTCTTGAGAGTGTGGGTCCAGATCAGCTGGGCTGAGCCATGCCAGGATTAGCACACTTCTTCAGGAGTCTCTCTCTGCCTTGCTACACTTCCTTTTAAATACAAGTGAGTGTGGTTGTACATTCCAGTCACTTGGGAGGCTGGCCTTTGACAGCAAGCAGCCCTCTCCTTAGGGTGGCCTTGGTTAGAGGTAGTGGTCTGTCTACTGCTAAGCCTTATTTGGAGTTGGATCCTTGATTAATCTCCCTAGGAGGCAAGAGTGGACCCAGCCATAGGAGGGGGAAGGAGGAGACACATAGTTGTGTCAGAGCAGTATGACGGGATTTTGCCTGGATGAGGGTATGTAATGGTCAGACAGAACCTTGATATTATGACTCCATGATCATTGACCTACCTGGCAGACTCTCCTAGGCTGGCTGGAGTGGGAGTTGGGCCCAGGCTACTGGACATCAGTGAAAGCTTAGGACAGGGTAGGGAAAAGAGCCCTGGATATTTTAGCTTTTAAAAAAAATATTATTTAAATTTGATGTATATGAGTATATTGCCTGCATGTATATAAGTGCACTCATGTTGTGCAATGCCCACAGAGGTCAAAAGAGGGTGTTGGATCCCCTGGAACTGGAGTTACAGATGGCTGTTAGCTGCCATGTGGGTGCTGGGAACTGAACCCCGGTCCTCAGCAAGAGCAACCAGTGCTCTTAACCACTGAGCCATCTCTCTAGCCCCCTTTTTTAGTTTGTGTGTGTGTATGTGTGTGTGTGTGTGTGGTATTGGGAACTGAACCTAAAGCCTCATCATGAATACTAATTAAGAGTTCTACCACTGATCTATATCTCCCAGCCCAGGGCCCTGGTTTTAGATCTTGGGCAAATGAATTGGTTTCTTAACTACCAAAGAGGAAATATATGGTAGCACACACCTTCAGTTCTAGGACTTGGAAGGCCAAGGCAGGTGGATCTCTGTGAGTTCAAGTTCAGCCTGGTCCACATACCGAGTTCCAGGCCAGCTGGAACTACAGGGAGACCTTGTCTCAAAAAGATCAAGGAAAAAAAAATAATAAGTGCCCATCTTCGCTGTGCCACTGGTTTGTTGAGGCCATAATGGGAAAGCTCTCGGTGAACGCCATGAGAATGTCATTTATACCCTTGCCAGTCAGTCAGTCACACAGCTTCTCTAGACCTTGCTCTTTTTGTGTGTGGGGGTATATGTGGTGTATGTACATGTTTGTGTGTAGAGGACGGAGGTTGACATTGGGCATCTTCCTCAATTGCTCTCCACCTTATTTTTTGAGATAGTCTTTCACTGAATCTGGAGATTACCTATTCAGCTAGCTGGCCAGAGAGCTCCAGGGATCTGCCCTTCTACCTCCTCAGCACAGGAATTACAGGCATGCACCACCACACCTGGCCTTTTATGTGGGCGCTGGAGATCAAACTCAGGACCTTGTGTTTTACCAACTAAGCCACCTCCCCAATCCCTCTAAAAATGGGGTCATGATAGTTCATCCTATCAGCACTGTGTGTGTTGATAAAAATAGAGAACTGAACTATAAATCCTGCTGAACCATGGTAATTATCAATGTCATTGTAGAAGCCAACACTGGCTATACAGTGTTTACTCTGTGCTAAGTGTGTTTGCCCTACCAGGTGAGCGTTATTAGTGACTCACTTTATTGATGAAATTAAGGTTCAAAGGAGTGATATGACTCACCTACAACCCCACTGCTAAAATGACAGAGTTGGGATTTGAATTCAGACAGGCTGATCCCAGGTTTGGCCTGTGTAAGTGCCTGTCCTGCTGGGCCTCAGGTTCTTCATCACCAATAAAAAGAAAGCAATGCACTAAATGGGCCCTGGGTCCTTCCTACAGCAGGACAGCGGTATTCCTTTTGACCACCAGGGGTCTCCCTCTAATGGCCAGAGTCCTAGCTCAGGGTGGCCTCGGCGCCCTCACCAAATTTGTGCAATGTTTGAAGAGAGAAAGGCAGAACACTCTGGGGTCATTTAAGAAAACAGAGTTTCCCACAAGTACTGACACCCCAGATAATTCCCCACCATCCTTCGCCAAGTGGGATTCCCCCCACCTTATCCTGGGCCAAGCCCTCTGATTTGCAGTCTGAAACCTGGCCAACAATGGGAAAACCACAAATAAAACTTGACCTATACATCAAAAGAACTGTCTTCAAAACATATTAAAATCTATTTTCTAGAAGACCTAAACATTAACAGCAATGATCTTGGAGTTAGGTAAATTTTCTTTCCTCTCCTCCCCTCACTCCCTCCCCTCGCCTCCTCTCTCATTTGAAACGTCTTTGTCTTTCAATGTATCTCAAAAGAATAGTAGAGGGGATGTTTTCCCATTACTACAACCAAACAAAAAATTCCCCTTTTGTTAAGTGGTTTGGGGGACAGAACAATACCCAATACTTGACTTCCTTGAACCTTAGTTTCATTCTCTTTTTTTTTTTTGGTCTTTTTGAGACAGGGTCTCCCTGTAGCCCCAGCTGTACTGGAACTCACTATGTAGACCAGGCTGGCCTTGAACTTGCAGAGATCTGCCTGCCTCTGTCTACCAAGTGCTGGGATTAAAGGCGTGCACCACCACGCCCAACCATTCTCTCTTTTTTAAAAATACATTTTTGGGGCTGGAGAGATGGCTCGACAGTTAAGAACACTGGTTGTTCTTGCAGAGGACCCGGGTTCGAATCCCAGCACCCACATGGCAGCTAACAACTGTCCCTAACTCCAGTCCCAGGGGATCTGACGGTCTCTTCTGTCCTCCGTGGGCATTGCACGACATGGGTGCACTTACATACATGCAGGCAATACACACATACACATAAAATAAAAATAATAAAAATTCTTTTAAAAAGTTTTAAAAAATACATTTTCATTTATTTTATTTTGTGTGCATGTAGATGGGAGATGTGTGCCAAAGCTTGTGGAGGTCAGAGGCCAACTTGCAGGAGTCTGGTCTCTCCTTCTACCATGTGAGTCCTAGGGATAGAACTCAGCTTGTCAGGCTTGGTGGCATGCAGCTTTACCCATTGAATCATCTCACTTGCCCAGTTTCATTCTCTTTAAGGCAATTATTAAGGGGTTGGACACATAGCTTAGTTGGTAGAGGGCTTTCCTGGGACACATGAAGAAGTCCTGGGTTTGATTCCCAGCACTGCATAAACAGGGTATGGTGATACACAGCTATAATCCCAGTACTCAGGAGGTAGAGGCAGGAAGATCAGGAGTTCAAGGTCATCCTTGGCTACATAGTGAGACTGAGGCCAGCCTGGGCTACATGAGAAATGCCAATTATTAAAATATGGCCAAAGAGAGCTTTCTGCTATGGTGGAAATGTATTTTTGCAGTATACAATGGGGGAAGTGATCAGTCTCAAGTGGTGATGGAGCCTGTGCAACTAGAACACTTGATCTTAATTCATACAAATATTCTTATGTGACTACTATGCTGGAAAATACAGCATAATACTTTCATTTCAGGTGACTGAGGATTTAATGCCAAATATCTAAGTGAGAACATGCCTTATACATGCAGGGTAAGCCTTATAATTGGAAAATTTTTTCCACTTAAAAAAAATTAACCCATTGATTGACTGTGGAGATGGATCAGCAGGTAAGAGTGATCGCTGTGCACTCTTTGTGAGTTCAATTCTTCAACACTCATGTAAAAAGCCTCATGGCTACGGGTGACTGTAACCCCAGCACTCTTGGGGGTGGCAGACAGGAGGACGACTGGGGCTTGCTGGCCATCATGTTCAGCAAGAGAATAAGTTGAAGAACACCTGACTACCTCTACTGGCCTCTGTGTGCACACAGGGGCACATGTACAGGCACTATAAGGAAGGGAGGAAGGGAGGGAGGGAGGGAGGAAGGGAGGGAAGGATCTACCAAGTTTTGGAGACAGATACAGCTTTGGTGAAATACAAATATGCCCTTAAAGATACACAAAGAATCTAAGTCCTAATTGGAACATCTCATGGTGTAAACAAGCCCCAAATCTTCAAATAGGTTCCTAGACCCAAAGGTTCACAGAACAGATGTGAGCAAAGTTGGGGCAGGGATTGGGAAAGGTCAGTGTCGTACCTGAAGTGGGCAGTGTCTCCTTGGCTCCCTGTGGCTATGTGGGAATGAGGGCCCATACCCAGATCTGAATTTTTTTTTTTCCAATAAAAGCCTGAAATCTGGACTTCAAAAAAAAAAAAAAAAAAAACCTCAGTATTATTCTTTATTTAATTGTTAAGCTTTGAAATCTGGACTTTTATATGAAATCTACACATTTGAAATGTTGGTAACAATGAAAAAAAAAATACCCCTGTGACTGAGCCAAATAAAACAAGAATAATTTGGAAGACCTTTTTTCCCTTATGCCCAACTCAGAGAATGGCTCTCAGAGGAGGTTAAGACGGTGACATGGACAGACCCCTGGCATCTTGGCTGCCTACCTAGTTCCTGACATACTCATCTCACAGCTCCCTGACATCTCCACCCCTGCCAGCACCTCTTCAGCCCAGTTAGCCCCAGAGCCAGACACTTTTGAGGCACGCTGAGATCCCTGAGCCTGTGGGTGGCCACTGGCCAGCGCTGGCACTGCTCTGCCACCAGGATCTGCCTGGGCAGATTCTCAGAATGCACCCAATGGCCCTAAGCAACTTTCCTGTTCCTGGCTTGGGCCTAACCCGGAGGAAGTAGTAGGATCTCTGAAGGGGGCCGGTATCTATCTCTTGAGCACCCAATGGAGGGTAAAAAAGGAAAGAGGCAATCCCAAGTTCTTTTTTTTTTTTTGGTCTTTTTGAGACAGGGTCTCCCTGTAGCCCCAGCTGGCCTGGAACTCGCTACATCGGCCTTTAACTCACAGAGATCTGCCTGCCCCTGCCTCTGCCTCTGCCTCCCAAGTGCTGAAATTAAAGACAAGTGCCACTACACCCAGCAATCCCAAATTCTTAATAGGTGATTTCCCTCTACATAGGCCACAGAGTACTGATGATTAAAATGCACATGCTTTGCACATGTGCGTGTCCTAGGGTTGAACAAATTGGAGAATTCTATCATAGATTTCCTGTTTCAGAACTTTTAGTATATATTTGCATTCTAAAAGGTCTGAGAACTTCTAAAATTAAAATACAAAGTACTAGCTGGGCATCAGGTATAGTGCCTTTAATCCCAGCACTTGGGAGGCAGAGGCAGGCAGATCTCTGTGAGTTCAAGGCCAGCCTGGTCTACATAGTGAGTTCCAGGACAACTGGGGCTACAGGGAGACCCTGTCTCAAAAAGACCAAAAAAAAAAAAAAATACAAAGTACTATAATTTCGATTCACCATTTCCCAAACTTACTCAGTTCTGAACCCCTCTCTCTATAACTGGCATCTCATTCAGAGAAATGGTGTCAGTCTGACTGTGGAAGCAGCTGTGTTTGGCCAAGGTCAGGCTGTGGCCATGGAGCAGTTCAGTGGGAGGGGAGACAAGAGCAGATGGGAATCTGGCTAGATCTTCACTGACAGCCTGCGGCCTATTCCAGGGACCTGGGAAAGCAGCTGGAGCAAGGCCTGGAGATAGGAGCTTGTGCCTTCCAGCTCTTGTCACGTGTGTTAAGAACCATCAAGCATATACTAAATGACTTACCATGTGCCAGGCCTTTCCCAATAGTTATTTCATTTTTTTTCCCCCCCAGATCATCCCTTTTGGGGGAGAATTCTTACCCCTCTTTATTCATGAGGAAACCAAAGCTCAGAGCAGAGGGGGATTTGCTGATAGTGCATTGACCAGACTCAGGGCCCACCTCCCAGGCAGCATGCTATCCTTTTGCATGGTGGGCAAGTACACACGGGTATCCTTTTCTCTATGGACTCTCAGACCCACCAAAATTGCCCAGAATTTTAAATGACAGATTCTTGGGTTCAGCCCTAGAAATTCTAACTCCACAGGTTTGGGATGGGGCCCTGACATCTGTATCTTTGGGAGGCTTACCAGATGATTCTCATAAATGGTCAGTTTGGGAAAGAACTATTTTAGAGACTACTCAGGGAGCCCTGGACTGGAGGCAGAGAGCAATCTGATGCTAGCTCAACTCTCATTTGGCCTCTTTGTCCCTCCCATTCCTCCACATTAGTAAAAGTTGGGCTAACATCTCCTGTCTTCCTGTCTGCCCTGAATTAAGGGAAAGGGTACAAGATGGGATCAGGATGAGGGTGTGTGCACCTGAAGAGAAAGAGCAGAGCTGCCAAGGCCCTGGACAATGTAAGCCAATCCACAGCAATGCACGTATCTGCTGGGCAGGCTCAGGAGAGGAACACCTTCCAGCACAGGAAGTGCTCAGTTGTGTGTGGTGGGGAGATTCAGGGCTGTAGTTCCAGCACAGAGTGAATGCAGGTTGGAGGTGTGTGAGAAGCACAAGTGGGCCAGGCAGTGAGTGCTGAGGGCACGCAGGGTATAACTCCTTCCATGGTCTCTAAAGGTTTGTATGTCTGAGCTGGAGGGCAGTGGAAAGCTGACTGTGCCTCCCCTCATTCCCATTTTCCTCTTTAGGATCCCTGTACCTTGAGAGAGAGGAGGAGCCACTGGATAGCTGTGCCCTCTGAGACGCCACCACCCTCTAGAGGCAGGCAACTGTTAGAGACTACACAACTGGATCCTGACCTTGCACATCTGCTTCCCTTCCCACACTGCTCACTTACCTTCTGGATGATTCCAACCACCCTGTAGCCCTTCAGCTGCTCCAGGGCAGAGCTCAGTGTGCGGATGGGCCGGAGCCTCAGGCTGCTGAAGCCCTGTGGAGAAGGGAGACGAGGCCTCAGTCCTGGCTGCCTTAGTTATGGCTGTGGGCAGGGGCTTCTGGCTGCCAGGACAATACTAGGGGCCATAGTGGGTAGGACTGGGGTCCAGGCAGACTCCGTCACAGGAACAGGCTGAGCAGAGAAGCTGCCCTTAACTGGGGGAGACTGGTTCAAAGTGGCCAGGCTGATCAGGGCCCACCTAGCTTTACAAGGACCAGTTCTCAGGGTTTAACAAGCCCCCTCTCAGAAGCCTTGTCCTGAGAGACATTTTCTCCCAGAGTTTAGGGTGGGAACATGTTGGTGTCACAGAGCACAGTGGACTTAGGAGGGCACATGTGCAGCCCTGTGGTCATAGGAAGTACATGCAGCCCACTGGGTCAAAGTAACAAGGGGAACACCTTGGCCACATGGGTACTCATGCATTCATGTGTGTGTGTGCATACTCATGGTGTACCCACCCAACAGAAACAGAGTCTGGACGCTCCGAGTGTATATGTGAGAATGACATAGAGCCGTGTGCAAACTGGAGTGGGTGATTATGTACACACATGCCAAATGCTCTGTGAGGCTGCATGGGGGTGGGAGAGAGGAAGCGGGAGAGGACAGGAGGGCAATCCTGGCTCATACTTAGTCACACCCTCCACTAACTACCCACCCTGTTCTGAGGCTGGAGGGGCTTGGGGGTGGGGAGGCTCAGCTGCCTTTCCACAGAGTCCTCTTTCTCTTCCTCACCGTGTCAGGGCTGGCTCCACTGCCCAGTGTCCGCTGCAAGTGGCAGTTGAAGATCTCTTCGGCCCGCCGCAGGTACTTGGTAATTTTCACCTTTACTGCTTCACATCGCTCCTTGTTGGGGTCAACTGTGGAGGACTATGGTCATCATCTGGGGTCACCAGGGCCTCACCCCTGCCCTTCATCCTGGCCTTGCTGGTAGGTTGGGATGCCAGCTCCCATTAACTGCCCTCTGACTACTGAAACTGATAGTTCTAACTTCTAAGGCTGATCAACAGATTCTTTCCCCAGCCCTGTGCTGAGCCCCCACTGGGGTGGGAGACCAGCAGGAAAGGAAGAGGAGGAAGAAAGATGGCAGGAGGAGACTGGGAACCACAGTCACCCCACAGCCAACTGTACTTTAGAGCTGGTACCCACCACCTTGTTGGCTGTTCTCACACTCTGAGAAGGGATAAGGTGAGGATTCCCATGTCCATTTCCTGGAGAAGAGGAGAAGCTTCTAGAGTACAGTGTTTCCTCTACCTCTGATGCCCAGTATGAGAAAGGCTGGGGTAGAGACTACATTAGATGGGAAAGGAATGCACTGGATCCCTAATATGGATGGACACTAGACCCTACATCGGCCTTTTTCTGCCCAGCCCCTGTCCTTGCCCATCCCTACCCTCACCATGTACACCACGGAGCAGGACGTCCACACCATTCTGGTAGTGGTTAAAGGCCGCCTCATAGTCTTCACTAACATCACGCTCCAGGGCCAGCCGGATCTGGGTGGCTGCGTCTACCAGGTAGTCACGCTTGTTCATGTCAGGTGTCCCCATAGCCACTCGGTTACGAATCTGTTCCAGATACATACAGGCCTGGGAACGTGCTCGTGAACAGGGCTCAGGCTCCAGGCCTGGGCCAGGTGGACATTCGTAGGCTACCAGGCTCATGGCTGCCCTGCAGCTGTGATCTGCAAGAAGCAAATGCATTAGAGAGGCTCTTTCTGGGAGCCACACTCCTACCTGTACCCTGGCTTCCTTCACTGAACACTGGATCCACCTCTAAAGGCTGAGGCGATCAGGGCTAATGTGCAAGGTCCCTTCATTGAACCAGATCCTTCCTCAGTGGTAATGACAGAATAATACTACTGTGGCCTCTCTTTTCCCTTCAAACTCAGTTCCACAGCACTTCTCCAGTGTGTTCTGAGTGTGGAGCACTGGAAAGAGAGCTGGGGTATCTGTGATCCAGAGCTGCCTTCAAGGGGCAGCCACAGAGCAAACCTGGTGTCTAAACATGCTAAATATAAAGAAGTCACACACTCTGAACTCAAAGCTGCTTCTCCCACTGGTCCCCCACCCCACCACTTCTCCCTCCCAGCTTCCCTTGTGGAATTTCATTTAGCCTTAGGGTTCAGCTCAGTGACACCTCTTCCCATACAGAATGCATGTCTAGGCTTTTTATTTCCTTTGGCCCTGAAATCTGGAGTCAGTTAGTGGGGACCCTCTTTCTCCCAGGTACTCATTAAAGCTCATTGGCAGATGAGATGTCTGAGTGACAGATTTGATGCCAGTTCAATGAGGGTGGCAAGGTGGTCCAGTCCTATGGGGGGATGGCTTTTCCTCCTGACCCTGACTCTGAGGGGTTTAGGGATCCACTGTGGCCTCCATGGACCAGACCACAAGTACTCTCGAAGCAGTGTGTGACACCAACGGCCAATGAGTAGGAGCAGGGGCTCAGGTGCCACTGGAAAAAGGGCAGCAGGGAGCATTCATCCCTCTGCATGGAAAGAGATAGAACAGGCTTGAGAAGGAAACACACAGCCCCAAGCAGCCAGGAGCTGAGTGAGCCCCAGCCAGGATGCAGCAGGAGATGGAAAAAGGCTGGCTTTCCTGCGAGCCCAGAGGGACAGGAGGCCTGTGCTCTGGCAGCACCAAAGCTGGTCGCGCTGGGTTGCAGGCTTCAGGGTCCCTACTCACAGCCACAAGCCTACATCCGGACCCGGGGAGCAAGCGGAGCTTGCAGGTCCCCAGCATGCAAGGTGCACCATCCCGAGGACTCGCCAAGGAGGCCAGGCGTGGGTAGGAAAAGGAAGGCTCCTCCTCGCCTGGGAGGATAGTGGAAGAGCGGAGCAGCACTGTACCTGCCGGAACCAGGGGCTGGGTCCGCGTGCCAGACCTCCCCGGCTGCCACCTCCTTTCACAGCCGCAGGGCGGGCGAGTGAGTTTCACCAATCCCAGCCTTCCACCCTGCGACCAGGTGCCGGGGTCTAGCCCGGTGCTGCTTGGCCATTGGCTGCGGATGAGCTCATCCTCCATGGTTAGAATACATCTCCAATCACCACCAGCCTCTGCTTCTGACCATCCTTAAAGCCGCAGAGTTTGCAATGCCGGGAGCTTAGGTGGGGGGTGGAGGGTGCGGATGGGTGGAGGGGGAGGGGCATGGGAATGAGTGGAGTCGGGAGTGGGGAGGTGGTCTCTTGTCATCCAGGGATGTGGAAGGAGCTGCTTCTGACACATAGGCCAACTGAAAAGTATCCATGGCACTTCTTAGGGCTTTTCTCATTCGAGATGGCTAGGCAGGCCAAGGCGCCTGCTGCCAAGCCTTTGAATCTAGGTTCGATTCTCAGGAAGGAAGGAGAGACTCGGCTATCACAAGTTGTCCTTTAACCTTCACACACTGGTCCATCACACTAACCACATACAAGAGAGCAAACTAATTACATAACTAAATAAATGTAATTCATTCACTACTTCAGTTATTCAACTATTTAATGATTTTTTGAGGATTGTGCACTCTGCTCCAGGGACTAGGTTTTGGGAGGCACCGATGGCCTTGACAGATCTGCTACAGTCCTCCTGAAGTTTAATGTCTAGTGAGGGGTACAGGGATTCCAGAGGTGGGTAGTAGAGGTAACATGGTTTTGCTGTGTTCCAGCAGTACAGAGGGCTATGACCTAGCCTGGGGGGGTCAGACTGCATCAACAAGAAAACCAGATCTGACCTGAGCCCCCTCACTTGTCAAGACCCACACTGCCCTTCCCTACTGCCCTGTCGTTTGGATAGTTTTTCATAGCAGTCTCCTCGGGCTCCTCTTCCTCCCCTATACTCCCACTCAAGAAGACACCAAGGTAGTCTGTAAGCACACTACCTCCCACCTGTGGTTCCCACTTCTTTGTACAGATGGCCTGTCTACACACATCGAAGCCAGCCTTCATCTTGTCCATGAATTCTGCTCCATCTTCTATTCAAGGACAGTATCCCAGCAATTCTTTCTCTTTCTTTATCATTAGTTTTTGGTTCCCACTGGATCATTCCCATCTTATTTAAACATAATATTGTATCTCTTACTTTAAAGCAAAACAAGTGCAAATGTGGTAGCACACACTTATAGTACTGTCTACTCTGCAGGCTAGAGCAGGAGGATCCATTGAGGTCAGCCTAAGCTAAATATTAGCAAGACCTTGTCTCTTAAAAAAATAAGTAAAGGACTAGAGAGACGGCTCAGCGTTAAGAGCCTTGGCTGCTTTTGCAGAGGACCTGGGTTCAATTCCCAGCACCCACAGCTAGCAACCATTGCCAGCTAGAATGCAGCTAGCAACCATTCATAACTCTAGTTCCAGGGGATTCAATGCCATTTTCTGACCTCCAAAGGCATTGCCTGGCATGGATGCACTTACATGCATGCAGGCAATACACTCATATACATAAAATAAAAACAATAAAAATAAATAGAAGCAAACCAAGTATGACAGATGATTTTCATTGCCAATGTGACTGGATTTGGAATCACCATGGAAACACAGCTCTGGGTGTGTCTATGAGGGTGTTTACAGAGAGTTTTAACTTAAAAGGGAAGAGTCACGCTAAATGTGGGTGGTACTAACATTTCCTGAGGATGCAATGTGACCAGCCACCTCACCTTTTTGCACCATGCCTGCCCCATGCCTTCCCATCACTTCCCATCAATATGATGGGCTGCATCCCCTCAAACTGTGAGCCAAATTAAGCTTTTCCTTCTTTAAATTGCTTTTCTTCTTTAAAAAAAGTTTTTAATTGATTTTTTAAAAAATTTTATTATTTTTATTTTATGTGTATGCATGTATTGCCTGCATGTAGGTAAGTGCACTCATGTTGTGCAATGCGGCGGAGGTCAGAAGAGGGTGTCGGATCCCCTGGGACTGGAGTTACAGACAGTTGTTAGCTGCCATGTGGGTGCTGGGATTCAAACCCAAGTCTTCTGCAACAATAGTCAGTATTCTTAACAGCTGAGCCATCTCTCCAGGCCCTAATTGATTTACTTTTATTTTATGTGTATGAGAGTTTTGCCTGCATGTAAGTACATCCATGCAGGCAATACCTGCGGAGGCCAGAGGAGGGCATCAGGTCTCTTGGAATTGGAATTATGGATGGTTGTCAGCCACCATGTGAGTGCTGGGAACTGAACCCAGGTCCTCTGCATGAGCAGCCAGTGCTCTTAACTCCTGAGCCATCTTTCCAGCTCCTTAAATTGCTTCTTGTCAGGCATTTGATTATAGCAACAAGAAAATAAACTGATACAAAAAGAAAACAAAAGATACTCCAGTCCCACTTCTCTCTTGATCTATCACATTAAATTTATAGCCAAAGTCCTTAAAAGAGATGTCAAACTCTCTCTAGTTTTTCTCCCACTTTCTCTTGAACCCTTTCTGATGGAGCTTTCTTCCACAACACTCGTCTGAAACTGCTCTTGTTGAAGTTACCCAGTGGTCTGCCACACCCAGGGGTGGTCTCATAGTGTGGCCTGCCAGGAGCCCCAGAAACAGGTAGCATGGCTTCCTCTCCTTGCATTCTCCCCAGGCCCAATTCTCAAGGTTCCTCTATTCTCACTGCCACCTCTTCTCTGTCTCCTTCGATGGCATTTGCCCTCCTTGCCGACTTCTGAATGTCAGTCTCAGACACTGGCATCTCCCTTCTCTTTATCCTTATTCTCTTGGAGGAAAGACTGCATCTTGTCTTGTGGTTTTGTTTTTTATTTTATTTTATTTATTGATTGATTGATTGGTCTTTTTGAGACAGGGTCTCCCTGTAGTCCCAGCTGTCCTGGAACTCACTATGTAGACCAGGCTGGCCTCGAACTCACAAAGATCCACCTGCCTCTGCCTCCCAAGTGCTGGGATTAAAGGCGTGCGCCACCATGCCTGGCTGAAACAAAATTAGTTAAAAATTATCCTACAGGCTGGGTGTGGTGGTGCATGCCTTTAATCCCAGCACTCAGGAGGCAGAGGCAGGTGGATCTTTGTGAGTTCAAGGCCAACCTGGTCTACCTAGTGAGTTCCAGGCCAGTTGGGGCTACAGAAAAACCCTGTCTCAAAAAGACCAAAAAAATAATTAATTTTGTTTCTAGGGCTGGAGAGATGGCTCAGTGGTTAAGAGCACTTGCTGCTCTTGCAGAGGACCTGGTATGGTTCCCAACACCCACATGGCAGCTCATAACCATCTATAACTCTGTTCCAGGGGATTTGATGCCCTCTTCTGGACTATGCAGACTGCAGACACACACATAGTGCACATACATACATGTAGGCAAACACACACATTAAATAAATACATACTTTTAAAAAATTAATTTTTTTATTTTAAATTTATTACATCTTACTTATTTTGTGTGCATATGTGCATGCATGTGCCATGGTATATGTGAAGGTCAAAAGATGGCTTGCAGGAGTTGGTTCTCTCCTTCCACCATGGATCCACTATGGGTTCCAGAAATTGAATTCAAGCTGTCAAGGAGGTATATCCCACCCTCACTGAGCCATCTCACCAACCTCTGTTTTTGAGACAGGGTTTCCCTGTGTTGCCCAGGTTGGTCTCAAACTCATATGTCCTACGTCAGTTTCTTAAGTATTCAGATTACAAGCAAGAACTACCATGCCCTACTTTATTAATCTGTTTTTCAAAAACAATAAATTTGGGGCTGGAGAGATGGCTCAGTGGCTAAGAACACTGGCTGCTCTCACAGAGGATCTGGGTTCTATCCCCAGCACCCACATGGTGGCTAACAACCATTAGTAACTCCAGTTCCAGGGGATCTAACACCTTCTTCTGACCTCTAGCAGGCATTGCATGACATGGGCGCTCTTACATACATGCAGGCAATATACTCATACACAAAATAAAAATAAAATATTTAAAAAAACATAAAATTTGTACCTATTAGGTGAGTATCATGTGTTTCAATACATGTGTACACCACATGTGTAAATCAAGTTAAGCATGCTTAGTGAGGGAAATTCCTCTCTTCGTCCTCTTTCTACCCTTGTCACCCTAAACGCATTCGACACTGCTGTCACTCTCAATGCACAAGTCTGATTCTGCCCCTCTTTGCTTTGACCCGCAAGAGTTCTCACCTTATTCTGAGACTGACTCAGCCCTTCTGTGGCCTCCAAAGTCCTCCATCACTCACCTTCCTAATTTCTTTTATTATTTTTTATTTTATGTGTATGAATGTATTGCCTGCATACATGTAAATGCACCCGTGTCATGCAATGCCCACAGATGTCAGAAGAGGGTGTTGAATTCCCCTAGAACTGGAGTTAGAGATGGTTGCTAGCTGATGTTTGGGTGCTGGGAACTGAAACTGGGTCCTCTGCAAGAGCAGCCAGTGCTTTTAACCACTGAGCCATCTCTCCAGCCCCATCCTTCCTAATTTCTTCTCACATACTAACCTCGTTCATCCAACTCCGGCTCCTCTTTTAGGAGCATTCCAAGCATCTCTTACCCTAGGGCTTTTGCCCTGGAGCGGCCCCCTCCTAGAATAGTCTTCATAAATTTGCCCGGCTCCTCCTCCCCTATTTTGAGTCAGCGCCTGCAGGGATTTTCTTGAATCCCACTTTCTCACTCACCTAGCTCTGCTTCTTTCCACTAGACTCACAGAGTGGTCTCTAATCTGTTTACTTCTTTCTGTATGCTTGTTTTCTTATTTCCAGTGTGAGATCCACATGGGCAGAGGCTTCTGTTTGCCTTGCTCATGGCTGTACCCCAAGTGACAAGAACAGCAATATGGGATGGAGTATTGCTCAAGAAACGTTTGCTGAGAATAAGAAGGAATTAACCAGGAAACATGATTGAAGAGGGCTATGGAGGAGAATGTTCTGGGCAGAGACATGCATAAGTGCCCTGACAAAGTAAGGGGGAAGATAACATCTGCCATCAAACCAAAGGTGTGAAGTCATTTGATAGAAGTTAATATTGCCTCACAATAAACACAAATGCT